GTGTGTAGAAAGACGTGAATTAATAAATGCAAAGTGATTCCCTTTCTGAGAACATTATACCAGTATGTATGTATATAACGGTTGGAAAGGTTCAACTGTATTAGTAAGTGTTTTACAGTCTGTTTTACCCAAACGCTCATCAGCAACTAAATACATTTTATACAAGGAAAAGTTGAATACACTCATGTGCAGTCAGGCAAGATTACAAAAGAGTCATAATAATACTCTAGTAAGATTTAGAAGTTGGAAAGGTTCAACTTACTGTAAGTGTTATATATATATATATATATATATATATAATTATTATTACATATTCAATACATTTCGGATATCAATAACACGTTACAGTAGTCCTGCAAATCCATGAACATGGGAAATATATCAAAGAGAAATTCACCGACTTTCAGATGATTCAAGAATTTCTCAAGGCAATCAAAGAGCCTTTACAGAAGAACGATTTTGTTCAATACAGCTCGAACAAAGAGAATACACTTCTCACAACATAACGAACAGGACTCCATTTCACTTCCCCTTATTCAGGTGCACTGCGCATGCACCAACTGACAAAGTCATTACAACACAGGCATTAATGGAAACGATCATTACAATATAGACATAACTGGAAAGAAATGTATAATAGAGTATAAATTGATAAGATGTAATAGTATAAACACTGTACAGGAGCATTGGATGTTTGAAATATATAACTTGAAATAAATTGTGATTGTAGATAAGAATAAACCTTTGACATTTTATAAGATATCACATGGGCCTATATCCTATTTAGATCAACTGATCATAGAAAAAAAAACATAAACAAAACTTACAGTGCATCACTGTGATGGGAAATAGACACGCATTTTAATGCTACTAATAGTACTAAATATAACGATAATAATCCTGTAAATCGAGAGATTTTTTTCCATCAAACGCCATTTTCCAAACCATTTAATGAAGATTTCTCTCTGTATTACTACGACTGTCGTATGTATGTCTCAAAGAAGTCTAAATTGTAGGTATACACCATTTGATCTTGATTAGTTTATTACAAGAACATTATTACAACGAGATCGAAATGACTAATTCCTCTCTCTTACTGCATAAATGAGTTTGACATGAAATGCAACAAATATGACCATGATAAATTGAATAAAATAAATATAAAAACGAGATGGGGTATACTCTCTCTAAATACAGCAATGGCAGTTGCATGCATGTCAACACATTTTATATGATTACATAACACGTATTGTCATGATTAGTTGCATAAAGAAATACATATTTAAATGAGACAAGGTTACTAATTTCTTTCATAAATATTATATTTACATCGACGACTGTTACATACATGCCACAAATAGACTAGATTGTATGTATACACGATCATATCACGATTTGATATAAGAATATCACAACGAGACCAAGGTGACAAATTCCTCTTTTTATTATTATTATTATTATTATTTTTTTTTTTTTTTTTTTTTTTTTTTTTTTTTTTACTATACGTCAATAACTGTTTCATGCATGTCACAAATTAGACTAGATTATATCAAAGTAAGGATCCTGATTAGTTGGTTGTATCCACACTGGGAAATGATGTAATGACACAATATTTTAGGGTGATAAAAATAATAATAATAATAATAGCACGACATATATGGTTCATGTGGTTATATGGTTTGAATGGATTTGTAAGAGTACATTGAGTAGACAAACTGTTTTCTTCTCACAGTTTAACCACATACACACTCTGCGAAATATAATTATACTTCATAACATTGTATTTTCTTTAAACCTTTTATGTTCATGAAGCCCGACAGACTCTCAGGCTAACGGCAACCATGACCAAACTCTTCAGTGAAAAGTATTGGCCATGCATGACAAGTAGTTCAATATACAGAAGTTATTAATGATTAATTTAAATTATGTCAACTCAAATCCAATGTGTATGGATGTTTTATTTCCATTTGACTGAAGAGTAAAACCAAACAAAAAACATGATTAAAAAAAATAGATGATATAATGATTATGTCATATTTACACACATGTACACTTTTCATATCATATATTTATCATGTTTTTGTACAAATAATCAAGAAATTACAATGTTCACTTCTTGACTATAACGATTAGATTTAAACAAAATATGTTCAATAATGTCGAAAGCAAGAATTTATTGAATACGACAGAAATAGTACTAAATCTTGTCTAGTTTGAGTATATACATTAAATTTATATACATTCTATACATGGTGTTTTCAACAATCTTTCTTGACAATGGATGAATTTTCGGTGAAACAGGAAAAAGTCGATTCAAATTACTTTACCCGTAGTTCATGAAATCAATCCTGATATACAGAAAACATTGTATCACCGTGATGAAGAATATATCAACAGATCCTTACGGATTAGATTCCTGATGACCTTGTCACAGAAACCGGTTGAAATTGTATTAAACAATCAATTTAGATTTGTTCAAATTCTTTTCGATCCATTTCATATTTCACATTTTACGTTCCACATTGTCAGTTCTATTTACCTGTAATGTACAATGAAAACAAATTGTGGGTACACAATAGTTCACAATTATATCAAATCACTTTTATTTGTTTGTAGTTACTTGTAAATTAAGGACTTAAGTACAATTAGAAAAGGGGGAAATGAAGAATCCAAAGGTAAAAGCATAGCTTGTTGGTTGTAGCGTGTATATAGTAGGCTCTTGGTTGTATTGCATAGATTGTTTTAACATTATAACCCATCTTATGTTTATCCTATTTACATCACCAGGAACCCCCTTTATAAGATTATGTAAAATGGTAAGGGTTCACAAGCCGTCAAACTTTGAAATGTGATTGAAATAAGTTTCTGGTTTTGATATATATAAACTTATGGTATCCTAAATAGATGTACTTCTATTCAGATATAAATAAATTTCATTAATTGAAATCTAAACAAAAGACAAATCAATAAATTGCTGCCCTTAGCCATTTGAGATTTTAGACAAGTTTCATTTTGAAGTCCGTAGTAGTCTTCTGCCATCATGTGGTCTGATGAGGGTCATCTTCCGACGTTGATACGTTGTTGCCTGATGGCCAAACCACATATTATGACTGTTGTCGTCACAACCTCTATAATGATTATAGAAACATAAGAAAACCAGAAATTATATATACTGTATATAATGATGGTTTTCTAAAAATACGTACCTTTCAAATAAGCAAAGCATTTTTGCAGTTGAATTGGAAAGAGGTTAAATCGATATTATCTATTTAAATAATCATAGTTTGATTTGATTTACATTTACTATCTTATAACTTTAGATGTAGGATAATGACACGGTTTATAAAGAAAAGGGGTTTTCTTAAATATAAGCTTGAGGTGACGTCATCTCGAATATGGAAATAAGAAATCATACAATTTAAAGCAATGCAGGGAAATTAGGTTTGATTTGATTTTGATTTGATTTGATTTGATTTTCTTCTGCATTCATATACAGTTTTTCGATAACAATAATAATATAAAGTACAATAAGTATTTTTCTGACAATGAATCATAAATAAGCAAATACATAATTGTTATTTTCAAAAACGAAATGATAAACTGTCATGAATACTAAATTTCCTCAAACACTATAAAACATTATAAAATTATTTGCGGAAGAAGGACTGTCATTGTAAGCAGATTGCTTGATAATACGACAGCCCCAGACAAAACTCATGAATTATATTAACACATTTATTTTAGGTAGTTAGGAAGGAAGCAAGATAAACAAAAAAGCTAAGAAAGGGACAGAGCTGGGAGGGAGAGAAAGTAACATTAATTACAGTATTGGGAGGTGTACCTATATATCAAGTCAAGTTGTGCATGTTTAAATAATCACCTTTTGACATTTACTATTCATGACACTAGGCAAATTCTTAACATTAATTATAAGTTAAAAATTAGTTAAAAATAAGTTAAAAATAAGGTTCCTGGGATTGAAATTCATGTAAGTCAGATATCTAACGAGTAAATAGTTCGCAATCATTTAATAATATATATCTGTAAAGCGCACTGAAATGCGTTGTATAACGACGAACTATTATCATTATTATGTAGAATCTATTTTTATGTTTTAATATTTAAATTTCAATCAGTAAGGCGATGGATTCATTGGAAGAAGAGAGAAATTTATGTAAAATACTAGGATATCATTTAGTAAAACCAAAGTTAGATTTGAATTTGAATACGATTGAAAGTAATTGTATATTGATAAATAATTTTGTTCAAAAAGGTACTACAAGGATTAAATTTCAGACAGGGAAGAGTTGACATATAATATACATGTATATGATGTCACAATCATGACCAAGGTAGCAGACAGACGAAGAGGAGACACATATAGGCATACACTCCGTACCTATCACACATCTTAATATCATTATTTTTCATGAAATTTTATTCGTAGTTGTTTTTATTACAGGATTAAGAATATACAGGCAGTTTGATTGAAAAAATGCAGGCAACAAACCAGATAATGCCTCTTTTACATGTTTTGAGAAAAGCAGTGTGATTCGTAAGAATTTCTTTCCAATGTAAACTCGTTTTTAAACTACTGGATATTGCTATATTGTAAGAAGAATGTTTTATGTATCGACTTTTTGTCATGGTGCTAGTGATTCGTTGAAATTTCTTTCAAATACACACTTGTATATTCAAACTCATGGATATTGCTATATTGTAAGAAGCATGTTTTATCTTTCTACTTTTCGCTACGGATTGAAGAAGAGTTTATTTTGCTGAGATGCATAGCTACATGGCCATTTGACACATTTCTTTGAACAGAGCTATAGTTAAAGATACTGGAAATTTTGCGTTCTTTAATCAGACATTTAGATCATGTCGCTTAGGACGAAGTGTAACGAGTGTTTTTGCCTGATACCTCATTGACATGAAGGAAAATTACCTTTCTCTATGTTTGTAATATTTCAGTTTTCGGATATCATTACACAGATCCACAACAACCCTAATGCTAGACGTGGTCATTTTAATCAGGCCAGAATAAGCACATTAAAGACAGCTTAAATTATGTGTATTGTTTATTCTCGGGTACCGATTGGGCGGAGTTAAATATGGCTAATACAACAAATAGCCTACTTTGAATCGATGGAATGCCAAAAAGAGGGAGAAGAATCAATCGAATGATGGGCATGTAATATATATCTTACCCCACCATGCTTCACGGTGATAGTCAGCTTGCCTTCACTGTTCACCTCAGAAATCAGTGGATCCAGAGCCGTGTTGGTACAACACCAATCCAACCTATTGTAATAAAACAATACATTTCGGGGGCACGATACATTATCTCCTGAACTAACCTGACGTACGATACTCTTTAAAAAAAGCCATCAGAGATGTATGCTATAAGGTGTGAGAATAGATGACAATTCAATACACATAATTTTGCTATGTATTTAGATTGCATGACTGCAAACCATGGTATCATAACTGTGTATGTAGGATACCGCAAGGGTGTGAATATCATGATGAATAAAATAATTAAAGTATTGAATTAACTTTTTTCTTAATAAAATCGTATTGTTATTAATAAATCCTGAAACCAAGAGATCATCAGATTATGTAAAATATAGTAAAATCTTCTATACAGCAACATATCATCTAATCTTAAAAAAATAGCCAACCCTGAGATGCATTCCAAACCTTAATGCAACTACCCTAACTAGTTTGGCAGTAATAACGATAGGTGGCTTGTGGGGCAAAGTGTTTTGTCAATTGTCTTTGATAACAACATTCGAATGTGTTAATTTAACGCTAGTTTTCCTCTTATCATGATTTTAATCAGGCATCTAGGTTGTATCAACATCAAGTAAGCATAAATTATATGTCTAAAGGTAAGGAAGAAATTAAAATTCACATTTTTATCTTAATATCTTTGTAAATAACCCATTTGAACGAATCAAATGCTCAATCTAATGATCAAATGTTAGTGAACAGACTGAACACATTTTCTCACATAACTATGTAAATGAGCGTTCATCATATAACTATAACTAGTGCATTTCACATGATATGCAAATTAGCTTCCACCATTAAAATATAAACAATTCATGTATTGAAAGCTATGTATTATGGGTCTCCAGACATGGTAGATTAATTTTCTGATTTATATTGTAAATATTTAGCCATCCATAAATTAAGGACCCACTTTGTGACACCTTTGGTGTCCCACTTACATAAGGAACCCACACGTATTTGTGGCTCTGAGTAAAGGTTTAAATAGAGGAGTGAGATTGTTAAATGATTCTTGGTGTGAGGATGCGATATTATGCTTGGAAATTACTTTACAATCTCACTCCACTATTCAAGTCTTTACTCAAATCCACAAATACTTGTGGGTCCCTAATGTAAGTGGGACACTAAAAATTTCACAAAGTGGGTCCCTAATTGATGGAATTACCCAAATGCTTTCTGGACCCCATGGAAGACCAGAAGTGTCGCGCCTGGCACAACTGAATATGGGTTATCCAGCCGTTTCATTCATACTTATGTACATACTTGTATTGTATGTTTGTTTCCAAACGGAAAATAAATACTTCCACTACAACAGTCAAAGGTTACCAAAATGTGTCGTTCCATAATGTGTTGTACAAGTATATTTTTAAGATTTTGACTATAATGAGGCAATCATTACCCTTGGAAATCAAAATGAGACTCACTCTATGCTTGTCAGGTTTGGATGAGTCTTCATGAGTTGGATAATCTCAACTGTCTTCTTGGTGTACAGGTCAATGCGGGTAATGGACAGCTTAGTGAGCCCAGGACATGATGCTATCACCGCCTTGCAAAATGACACGGTATCTTTTAGTGCAGTAGACGATGTATCAAGCGAATCTCCCTGTATGTGCAGGTGAGTTAGATGATGGAATGGAGAGCAGGCCATTGTGACGATGTTTGATGAGACATTCTCATTGGCAGACCAGTCCAGTTGGAGATTTTGAACTCTGGGACATGATGTATGAAGTCCAAGATTCCACAGACTGGTCACATGCTTACCATCCACAGATAGCTCATCTACTGAGGTTATTTGATGAGTCTACATGAAACAACAGCGGTGCAAAAAAAGCTCGATCACTATATATGCTTTGAAGGGAACCAACACTAACGTAAGAAATTATATTACATAACATGACTCATTATTGTTTTAATAAAGTAATGTTATTGTTCATATCATGCTTGGTAAAAATTCCACATTTATAAAGTTATAAAACGTAAAGGGTTTTCATCAGTTTAAAGTAAGAAGAAATAAACATACGCGTAGTTTTGTGGAAAAGTAGAGAAACGAAACAATTTTTTTGAACTTTTGGATGCCGAGATTATAAATGATGAAGAGAATCTTCCATTGACAATACAGTTATATTCGATGCCGTTCCGTATGAACTATAACCGATTTATTTTTCCAAAATATAAAAAATACCTCTTTGTTTTCCATATTAGTGATCCAGCAGCTTCTGTTCCATTAAGCCTAAACGTGCATTGCCCTCCCTTTACAAAAAGGGTCTGTCTATCATAAGACTCTAGAAAAGTTGTTTGCGGTATTTTTTGTAGATAAAAATCAATTAGAGGATTATCCCCTGTATGACAAACACATCATGACCGCTTTGCCAATACAAGTTTTCTCACATCATTACCATTATCGACGTTCAAAATTTCTTAACGTTTTTATTTTTTCTCCCTTTTTCTGAAACCTTCGTAAAATGTTTCTTTAAATTGTCTGTTTCCACTAACATGACCAAAGCCAATTTAATAACGTGTGTTATTATCCTCCTTTTTTCAGTGGAGGATGACGGGGTTGTAGTACTCATTTGAATCTCCTTATTGTGATATTAGTTTAGCCAGGCTTAAAAAAATCATTCAAATGATTTTACATTAATGAAAGTTGCACATTTCATGATGAAAAAATAAGCAACAAAAATCTCTGCAGGAAATAGCTAACGGCATTCATTCATTAATCGATATCTAACGAGCTTTAATAAAATATGCATGGTTAAAAAATTTGATATATAAATACATGCATAGCTTTACTAAACAGCCCGTAGTATGTCGTCTTAACTTGATATCAAGGCAAAATACATTATATTTTCCGCAATTCCTTTATCGTTCACATTTAGTCTGTCTAGTCTTTCTAAACCCCTTCCTTTTGAGCTTGGAACAAAAAGAGGATTTTTTATTTCAGTCTTGGAATAGTAAATATACATACCAGTTTCTCTCCATCGTCCATGTCAACTGGTCTGATATTCCTCAAGCTGAGTGACTGGAGGCGTGGTAGCGAGATAATGGAGTGTAGTCGACATGCAGTTATTGAAAAATCCTCCATACTAAGCGTCTGGATCTGTGCAAAAGCAATTTATCAGTTCACAACAAAGTAAACTCACGATACTATCTAAATATTTTTTTAAAACTTAAATAAACACCCTTTTAAATCACAGCTAAACTCAGATGAATCTGCATCTCAGTAACTTTATTATTCACTAAGTCTGATTATTTCGTCTCTATTTTTGCTATAGTTCAAATGAATCAACATCTAATCATTATTAAAAAAAAAGCATTTTAATACGCATGGCATGATTTAATTCAATAAAGGTAATTTTTATCAATTACATTACATCAAAATGATATCTTCAAGAAAGTATGTTATATCTTTTCCCCTTTGTTTTTCAGTAGGCTCAATCCATCTGTTTCTTTCAACGTGGATTAGTAAGCAATTTATTAATTATTCTTAATTCACTAGATACAAAAGGACAATCGCATGAAAACATAATTGCTTCAGATATGTGATACATCGTTTATTGGACAGGCACATGCGTTAACATTGTGCTTGCCATATTGTTGATATTAGGTATATTTTACAAGAAAATTGTGAGAACAGTCTTAGGCAATAGTTGTTACCTGATAACTTGGTCATGTGGACTACTGTTAAAATCAGTTATATCATGAATCTATCACATTAATCGGTTCTTAATGCGTTGTAAACAAAAACACATTATGATCCTAATACTCGTGCATGGTAACATAAATTATTTATCTATTGTTACAAACTATTAGTTGAGGAATACATGAGAAGTATTTTTCATTGGATTATTTTAGTTAATCAATTTTTATGAATTAATTACCTCTATCAATAAAATCGAAGAGATGAACACCGCGGTATTATGCTTGGTTATTATAGTAGGCCTATTAGAATCTAACATTTCTACATTACCCAATAGTAACTAATAAACATCTGTCTATAGTCAATAATGATAATTACAGTGTGAGTAAAAAAAACACCAAGAAAATTGCTAATTATTAAAAATATCATCGATGAACATTAAATTGTTATATGTCTTATGAAAGAGAGTTTTATCCCAAATCATTTGGTACCATGTTTGTGTGATATGTGTTCACGCTTGGATGAACAGGAGACATTGTTTGCGAGAGTGCAAAAATCGACTTGCGCCAAAGTTGCCTATGTGATATTTGAATAAAACAATTGGGATTTGGGTATTAATTCGGTCTTTGCGGATCCAAATAACATCCCTAACAAAATTAATCATGCCACACATATCAAATATCGAATATCAAATATCAACGAACATTTGTGCGCGCATGTGTGGGTGTGTGTGACTTTGCCCTTTGCAAAAAAAATTTGCAATGCATTTCATATGATACATTCAATTCCTCTCTCACTCCGCTAATCTAAACATAATACATACTGTAGGCATCACTATGGCGCAAGTCGATTTTTGCACTCTCGCTAATAATGCCTCCTTTTCATCCAAGCGTGAACACATACCACACAAAAATGATACCAAATGATTTGGGATAAAACACTCTTTCATAAGACATATTACAATTCAATGTTCATTATTAGCAATTTTCTACGTGTAAAATTTTCTTTTTGACTCACACGGTATATAACAAATTATGTAATAAATACATGTCTGTTTAAAAGAAAAATACAATTGATTTTTAAGATACATCTATATTTTTGGTTCCATGTTTACATTTAGTAAGGATGGGCTTCATTCTCCTTAAATGAGTACGTACTGTTTCAAAGTTTTCAATCCTCTAAAAAATGGGCAAACATTCTAATATCTCTATCTGATGATATAAAGATCTAATAAATTGCCAAGAAAGATCAAGATACAATAAATACAAGAAAATAGTTTACGAGAAAACAGGGGCTGAGAAAGCGAACGACAGAGAGATTGAGAGAGAATGAGAGAGAGAGAGACAGACAGAGATATAGAGATAGAGATGGCGAAAAAAGGCCCAAAGAGAATTGGGTGTGCTAAAAAGAAGAAAGACGAGATGAATAAAAACAAACAAATGTAATTAATTATGGTAAATTAGAAAAAAGAAACCGTGTCTTTTCAAGCAAAATAAAAGTGTTATATCCGTCTATTTACAATGCAAATGTAAAGTTTACTTCTTGCGACTATTGACAAAATTTAAATGATTTCTAAAAATAGAATGCGAAATAAATATTACAGAATAAGTCATTATATAAACACTTTTTTATGAATCTATACCATTATGACACCAAAGATCATTCTATTCACATGATTTGTTTCCTTGTTAGCATGGCCAAACTATTTATTATATCGATATGAGAGTGCTCGTTTATAATGTGAATAAAACATTTCTTTTTAAAAAGTGTAAAAATACAGTTACCCCAAAAGTTGAATTTGAAGAATGCAAAAGTATTTGGAACAAATCGTTTCCAATTGAAATCTTGTTTGGTATACCTTTGATTTTGATGCCTCATCGGCCATCGTCGAGTAGTACTCATCACTCAGCCCCACGTTGTCCAGATACAGTGATCGAAGATTTGGCACAGAGCAGAGACCTATTGCGTAATGAGAGGATGCAGCAGAACCCAGATATGCGTTCTTGTGCGTTAGCTTCTCAATCTGATGATGTGAACAGGATATGTTTAATAGAGTGAATAATATTATCAAGTATAGACGACATGTCTGATTTAAATATTCTTAATTATTAATGTAAATTAGTATCCTCTAGAAAGAGAGAGACTGGGACAGAGATAGAGACCTAATGAGAAATAGAGAAGGATAGCGAGAAAAAACCGAGGGAAATGGGTCTGGTAAGAGCAAAGAAAGACGAGATGAAGAAAGACAAACAAATGTTATTAATTGAAGAAAGTTAGCAAGGAGAGACACTGTCTTTTTAAGCAAACAGTGAAGTGTTAAATCCGTGTATTTACAATACACATGTACATTAAATGTCCTGCGACTACTGACAAATCAAAAATAATTTCTAAACATAGAATGCCAGATACTATTTATATGATAAATAATTGTATACACGCTCTTAATGAATATATACCATTATGACACCAAAGTCCGTTCTATTCACATGATTTCTTTCCTTGTCAGCATGGGCAAACTATTTAGAATATCGATGTGAGAGTGCTCGTGACTAACGTTTATATATGATTTCTTTTTAAAAAGTGTGAAAATACAGTTACCCCATAATAATGTTGAATTCAAAGGATGCAAAAAATAATTTGAAACAAATCGTTTCCAATTAAAACCGTGTTTGGTATACCACTAATCTTGAGGCCTCAGAGAGCATTGTTGAGAAGAACTCATCACTCAGCTTCACACTGGTCATGTCCAGTGATCGAAGATTTGGCATGGAGCAGAGACCTCTTGCGTAATGAGAGGATGCAGCAGAACCCAGATCCGCGCGCCTGTGCTTTAGCTCCTCAATCTGGTGATGGGACAGGACAGGTTGAATAGAGTGAATAGTATTGTAGAGAATAGACGACATGATTTGTCAGCATCATTAATGTAAAATCATAAACCTCTAATTAACTTTTAAAGCAAGACAAAGAGAAAGAGAGAGAGAGAGACAGACAGAGATCGGGACAGAGAGAGACATAATAAGAGACGGAGAGAGATAAAGAGCGAAAAACTCGAGGGAAATGGGTGCAGTAAGAGCAAAGAAGACGAGATGAAGAAAGACAAACAAATTTGATTGATTATAGATAGTTAGAAAAACAAAAAAATATTCTTTGTAAAGGGATAGGGGAACTTTGCCTCAGATTCCAAACAAGATCCTGGATTTTGCTCATGAATTAATCATAATTATAGACATATTTTAGGTCAGCCGGGAATCCTATGACTTTTACAATCCGATCGTTTGTCTGATTATCGAGATATTTAAGATTGGAAATCGAAATTTCGAAAATCGTTTTCCTAACTGTTTTTATAACTCTACAGTCTATTGGGGGAAATTAAAACGGCTCACTCAAAGATGACATTTTGAGGCACTTCATGATCCTTTTGAATCGCAATTTTGTTTAGGGCTTTAAGATAATACCATGTCACAGACACTGACACTGATAACACGTAGGGACACGCATCTCAGATTTAACATTGTTAATGCATATGCCGCGGCGGCCGTGAGGTATAATATATATATATACGGCAAATAGCAATATAGGACCGCCGCAGCATGGCCACGATCACATACGGTAGTGGTCACATATTATGTTTAGGTAGCCGCACGGCGTATTTTGAATTTTAGGAGATAGAAAATCTGCGGCTGCCGTAAGGCCTTTGAAGTGATGACGCACGGTCGTCTAAGGGCTTTTCCTGCGGCGGCCATAGGTTTTTGACAACTACTGAGGCAGAGACGAAGTAGCCGCAAGGTGCCCGCAAGCCGGCCGAAGGAGGACTATACGGCGACCGTGCAGCTCGACTGATGCTATCGCTTCACCCCTGGAGTATAATACTTATGCCACCGTATGCCCAACATACGGTCACCGTGGAACCGCTCTACGGCATGGTTACGGCGTGTCCAATCGGTACGACGAACCTTGAAATGAAAACAGTTATAACTCTGCGTTATAATCCCACGGTGACCCGTACGGCCTGTAAAGATTGGGATACGCCTTAGGGTGACCCTGAGGCCGACGCAGATTCTCTCGATTTCGGGGGCGTACGGCCGCCGTATCCGAGCCGTAGAGCAAACGTGACCTAGGCATAACTTCCTTTTCAACATGGCCAAACTATTTATGATATTAATATGAGTGTTCTTTAGTGTCAGTAGACACATGATGTTGTGAAGCGTCTAGTGCAGTAATGTGTAGAAATAGATTAGCATAGCGTAGTTTTAGCATCTAGTGCTTGCAATTTCTGCTTTCAGCTGCTGCCGCTGGCTAACGGCAAGGTGAAAAAGAAAGCCGAGTGCGTAAGCCTTCCCCTGCCAGTGCATAGCCTCTCCTCCAGCAGGACTCTTACAGTGACTCCTCGCGGCAACACACGGTAACTGGGTACCTCACGCGGTCCCGGGCAAAACTATAAGGGATTTCGGAGGAGCTTCGGGCCCAAGAGATGCAGCGTGCAGGCCCACCGGCGTTTGGACATGCCCTGGCGCCCATCAACCAAGCTCCATCTACGGGTTAAATAGCCCCACCTATGAGGAAATAGGCGGAGAGGTTGACTTCGTAGCCCAGTAAAGCCATCAACCTAGGAGTCGGAGCTCTGATATAAAATCCCCCGTCCAACCCGCACTGGGCCAGCATGGATGGGTAGGACCACACAACCCAGCATGACAGACACAAATAAGCAAAGGCCCCCAGTCCCCAGCAGCTCATTTGTTCCGAACCAAGGTGGCGGCCCGATAAAGCAAGGAGCAGGGGGTGCTAAGAATCCCTGGGTAAGGACCAAACGTGTACGCAGGGGAGGGGGGGGGGGGTTAAAACCCCCTTCAATTTTTGTATGTGTGTATTTTGGAGCAACCCCCCCCCCCCTTTGTGTGTCTGTATTTGTTTATTTTTTTATTTTTTATTAAGCTAATGGCTGACCTAAAAAAAGGTGACCTTACCCCCTCCCCCCCCCCAACGGAACAAAATGTCAAATTTTCAAATTTCGAGATAAAAAAAAAAACACCAAAAAAATCCTCTTCCCCCCCCCCCCCCCCCCCCCCCCATCCAGGAAATGGACATGGAAAAGCCCAGGCGGCAACATAAAGAATGAAATTGACTTCATATTAACTGATAATCCGCACATCATCCAAGACGTGAAAACAATCAGCAAGGTGAACATGGGAAGTGACCACAGGATGGTATTGGGCAAGATGAGAATCAACACCCGACTAGAGAGGCAAAAACTCCTAAAACCAAAACAAAGTACCATCAACCTAGAGAAACTAAAAGAAAAGAGAACAGTATTTCAACTGGAGTTGCAGAACCAATTTCAACTTCTGACGGACAAATGCACAGACGAATAAGGAAACAGATCTCTTGAAACATGGACTGATCTGCTAGTGGAAAAAACCCGAGGAAACCGCCATAAAGATCGCAGGGATAAAACCGAAAACCCGTGAAAACAAGATATCAGAATCTACCAGAACACTCATGGAAAAAAAAAGGAACATGGAAGCAGAAGGCATAGGCATCCAAAATGTAGAATACGTAGAAACCTGCAAAACAGTAAGGAAAAAGCTACGTGAAGACACCCGTAGTTACAACACAACAATGATCTTGAGGAAAACAGAAGCCTGAAGAAAACTTTCAAGAAATTAGCACATGGAAAACAGAAAATCACAAGCCTCCTTGACAGCAATGGACAAGAAATCACAGATAAGGCCCAGATTATTCAAAGAATTGAAGAATTTTATGAACAGCTGTACAACAGCAATAAAGAGACAGAAGATCCAGGAGAACCACAAGAGATCCCAGTTGTACCTGATTGGGAGGTTCAACATACAATAAATCAAATGAAGAGAGGGAAGTCACCAGGCCCAGACAACATACTCATAGACACAATCAAAGAAGGAGGAGACACAATAACTGAGGAACTAACCAAACTTTGCAATGCATGTATGCAAACAGGGATGGTACCACATCAATGGAAAGAAGTCACAGTGATAATTCTGCGCAAAAAAGGGTAACAAGCGAGATCTAAAGAACTACAGACCCATCAGCCTCCTCTCAAACATGTATAAGCTGTATACAAAAATCATCACCAACCGGCTAGAGAAAATCCTTGATAACAAGCAACCAAGGGAGCAGGCAGGCTTCAGAAGGGGTTTCTCAACTATGGACCACATCCACACCATTATTAATCAACTGAAAGAAAAATGCCAAAAGTACAACATCCCTCTATGCGTAGCATTCGTAGACTACGAAAAGGCATTTGATTCCGTCGAAACCTATGCAGTACTAAAGGCACTTCAAGACCAAGGAATCAACAATGCATACATCAAAATCCGTAAAGACATTTTTTCAGATTGCTACAACACTGTCAGAATGCACAAGGCCAGCAACAAAGTCATGATAAGAAAGGGAGTTCGACAGGGAGACACCGGCTCACCAAAATTCTTCACTGCTTGCCTAGAGAGCATCTTCAAAACATTAGACTGGTCATCAAAGGGAATCAACATAAACGGGGAAAACATGAGCCACTTAAGATTTGCAGACGATATTGTCATCATATCTGACAACTTAAACGACCTTGAAATAATGCTGCAAGAACTGGACGATGCAGGCCGGCTAACAGGTCTCAAATAAACATAAAGAAGACTAAAGTCATGGCAGGATCAGCCAAAGATCCAAAACAAATCCAAGTGAACGGTACCAAAATGGAGCAAGTAGAGGAGTATATCTACTTAGGGCAACGTTTCTCTCTACAAAGCAAAAATAAAGATAACGAAATAGGAAGAAGGATCAAAGCTGGATGGCAAGCCTTCGGTAGATACAGCACCATCATGAAAGGCAAGCTTCCATTATGCCTGAAAAAGAAAGTATATAACCAGTGCATCATCCCAGCAAACCATACGCTGCAGAAACATGTACACTAACATCAAAAATGGAAAGAAAGCTAACAGCATCTCAACACAACATGGAAAGAAGTATTCTAAGCATCAAATACAAAGACAAAAAAACGAACATATTGATCAGGAAACAGACAAAAGTCCAGGACATCCTTGAAACAGTAAAAAGAAGGAAATGAAATTGGGCAGGCCACATCAGCCGTAGGAATGACAACCGCTGGAGTTCAGCAATCACTCACTGGACAACATATTCATCAAAAAACGAAACAGGGGACGTCAAAGAAAAAAGATGGCGAGATGAGCTGCAACAATACTGGGGAAAGACTAATTGGCATCAAAAGGCGCTGAACAGAGGCATTTGGAGACAACATGCTGAGGCCTTCATCCTGCAGTGGATCTAAAATGGCTGAAAAAGTATTACAAAAAAGTAAAGCTGATGAAAATAAACGATTTATTTTAAGAAGTGTGAAAATACTATTTGAAGAAAGCACAAATATTTCGAAACATATTGTTTCCAATTGAAATCGTGTTTGGGTATACCTTTGATTTTGATGCCTCATCGGCCATCGTCGAGTAGAACTCATCACTCAGCTCCACAAAGCCCAGATTCAGTGATCGAAGGTTTGGCATAGAGCAGAGACCTCTCGCGTAATGAGAGGATGCAGCAGAACCCAGATTTGCGATCGTGTGCTGTAGCTGCTCTATCTGGTGATGTGATAGGACAAGTTGAATAGAGTGAATAGTATCATCAAGTATAGACGACATGTCTGATTTAAATATTCTTACTATAATTAAAGTAACACCTTTATACTCTACTTATGCTTTTAAAGCAAGAGAAACAGATAAAAAGAGGAAGAAAGAGAAATAGAAGGGGACAGAGACAGTTGCAGAAAAAGATAGAGAGGAAAAAGCCCAAAGGAAAGTGGATGTGATAAGAGAAAAGAAAGACGAGATGAAAAAAGACAAACAAGTGTCATGAATTATAGATAGTTGGAAAAAAAGACCATGTCTTTTCAAGTAAAATGAAAGTGTTATGTTCGTGTATTTACTATAAACGTGTTGATATTCTTTCCTGCGACTATTGGCAATTTTCAGGTAATTTCTTTTTATAAATGCAACATTCTATTTTTAGGATAAGACATTTTATACAGGCTTTTTGATTAATCTATATTATTTTTACACCGAAGTTCGTTATGCTCACATAATTTATTTCCTTGTCAGTATTATGGCCAAATAATTTGTTATATTGATATGAGAGTGCTAGTGGCTAATGAAATAATTGATTTCTTTCACGAAAGTGTGACAAAACAGTCATCCCGTAATATGTATGGTTTGAAGAATGTAAAACATATTTCGAAAAAAAAACGTTTCCAATTGAAATCGTGTTTGGGTATACCTTTGAGTTTGATGCCACAGTGGCCATCGTTGAGTAGAACTCATCACTCATCTTCACACGGTATAGCTCCAGTGATCGAAGATTTGGCATAGAGCAGAGACCTCTTGCGTAATGAGAGGATGAAGCAGTACCCAGATCTGCGTCACAGTGCGTTAGCTCCTCAATCTGGTGATGTACCAGGACAGGTTGTAAAGAGTGAATAAATTATTTGTCAGCGTCATTAATGTAACATCATAAAGTTCTTAATAGACGTTTAAAGCAAGAGAAATAGAAAGGGAGAGAAAGAGAGAGAGAGAGAGCGAGAGAAAATACATACAAAGAGGGAAATGGATGTGTGGCAAGAGCAAAGAAAGACAAAAACAAAACAAACAACTGAGATAAAACATACATTTTTGATAAAGGAAATTTCTGTTTGTTCATGCAGAGTAAAATGTTATATCTATCCCTCTACAGTGTACTTGATATATCTCATTCAGACGATTAAAAATATACAAAAAATAAACAAAAATTGAAATATTACTTATAGGATACGTGCCTTTAAAACGCGTTGTTATATAAATCTAATTCATTGTGGCATTCGGGAAAGAGAGAGAGAGAGAGTAGCTGGTCAAGAAGAATACAAGTGTTATAGCTTTTCCATTTACAGTGTATAATATCTCCTTGAGACTATTGACAAATTATGTAGGACTTTTAAAATCGAAATCGGAATAATTATCTACCTGATAAGTTAACGCTGATTATCGCCATCAGAGACGAAGGAAGGTGTGAGTATTGAGCTTAGACTTTGATTAATTGCCTGTGTGTCCATAAGTGTCCTTAATGCAAAGTTCCAAATTAAAAAACGTAAAATAAGGTATATATTTCATTAAAGGAGAGGGGGTCGTTATGATGCAAATCTGGTCCACAGTGACACGCAAAGTCTCCTCATTTCTGCGAGGGGCTAGATGGTATCCCCCCCCCCCCGCTTACAAGGTCTCGCGGGACTTTGGTCTCGTCCCGTAACGATAGTCTATCATAATTGTGTTAGTAACTCTCCTCTCATATATCTTCTGAGTCTTTGCTTTTAATTATCAACATTTCGTCAACAGAAAACGGGATATCCTCTCATATACTCGTGTATTACACCAAGCCACTTATACTACAGGCCTATATAATATCGTGATTTTTTTCTTTCAAAACCAAGATATTACTGCAAAAATATGCGGCAATTCCTAATAAGACTACAAGAAGTTTTTGTAGATTGGTCTCCCTACCCATAAATAAAAATAATTTTTTAATAGCATTAATTGTTTAGTAAATAATAATATAAAGTTCTACAAGACAACGTGACACACCATTCAGATTCTGAGGTCATCCAGAATGCAAAGTTTCACTATTGCAAAAAGGAAAATCTCCTCTCTCAGTCGATACGCCTTCTCGCATAATAATTTTTTCTTTAACAAAATGTAAGCCGTTGGTCTACATAATTAGAGAGGACCGAGTCTCCATCCCCGAAATTGGAAGGTCGCCCAATATAACAAGTTTTTAAATGCTACCTATTCAATATGAATGGAGAGAAAAAAGGTGCATATTAAACCCAGATCTTTTATACAATATGTGGTTCAAAATTGTACAAAATAGTACAAAACTTTTTTCTATGCACATCACATTTTCACTTGGCAGCTCAACCCCCCCCCCCCGCCCCCGTAGATCCGCCCCTGCGTCCTATAGTTTGTTAATAGCCAATGTCATTAAAGATTAACCTAAACAAACACAACAGATGAAGAAGAAACAGAAGAATAAGAAGAAAAGGATGAAAGTAAAAAATGATTGTTTCATATTATATTGGAGGTTGGCAAAGACTTCGACTGAGGGTCAGATTTTTCGCGATGTTTATCGCAGTGTTTCATTTTTACAAATTACAGCCATGACTTTCAAGTTGCCTTTTTCGTTTTGTCTTACACAGTGTCACAATGGATGGACACTCAGTATTTGACGAAATTGATGAAAAAAATATCTTAAAATATGCCAAAACAGTGTACCAAAACAGAGACGAAGAAAAAAATGACAGAGCAAGATGCATATCAATGATAGGTAGAAAGGAAATGTAAGGAAAAGAGGGTGGAGCTGGAGGAAGAGGAGAGCAAGACCATTTTACAAGACTTTTAGGGTTGCTTTAGACTTCTCACCTTTGTAAATAGAAGTGAACGAAATTATGAGTGTAAATAACCAAATTATGTTCATGAATGAAATACTTTTCCTTATCTTATCAAGAAACAAATATCATGCATTGGATAAGAAATAATGATAATTATGATTTAGGATTCATGAAGGTTAATACAATAATCAGAAACCTTGGACTGTGAAGCTGCAGCAGACATTCCTGTGTAGAATTTGTCATCCAGGGACATGTCAATGACCAACCCTCGTAAGTTCTGCAATGTAAACAGTCCTACTGCTGCTGCTACATCAGACAATGATGCGTTACCTTCGAAGGACTCACTAACACCCAATGTTTCACGAATCGAGGAACTTCTTCTTATCTGTACAACAAAATGAATTTCAGCATTCGATCTAAGAAATAAAACTTTCAATAATTAAAATCAAACATACCATGCTAATGGTTTGATTTGTGAGAAAAATTCTTGTAGCATGCATTGGTTTGTAAAAGGTATTTAACAAAAACACCAAGTTATTTATCTTGATGTCTTCACCCTTAGCCAAGATTCTGACAGCATGTATCATGTAAATAGCATGGATAAAACACACATTTTTATCATCAAGAATTATGGAAGGTGATATGAACAGGACAAATCAAATGTAGACTTATCGGTCTTTTTAATTATCTCTAATAAGTGAACCTGAAAAGTAGATATCTATTGAGGTAGCTATGGAGGGGATATTGAATATAGAATGACCTAATTCTCTATTGTTCGTTTGGTTGGCTCAGCTTTTTCTCTTTGTTTAATCCTGAAAGAACCTTACATTGTTACTCAATTCCTTTCTTAGTAGGTCCTTTAAATTTGTATTATTTATGAGGAAGAGGCAAACGGTGACATGATTCTCGTTCTAATGTGAGACTGATTGCACAATACACATTGGAATGCAGCCCACTATAGTACGTACATGTATATAATGACGACATGGCAGTTCTAAATGAGTATGGGTCAGAATACTGGAAAGCAAAGGCGTAGTTGTCCATTTGTTTGTAGGCAAATTTGCATAATCATACTAACTATGTAATTACTGAAAGCACAGCAGATGACAGTATTCCCTCGATATAATAAAATGTACATGAATGAAATTAGATACGTTTACAATTCTATTCACGAAACTTACTACTTCCTTCCCTATTGGTTCCAGTGTGGAGAATAAAGCGGTGATTGAAACTGAATGCGTATCAGTAGATAACCTAAGACGTGTCTCCGTATTCAACAGGTTCTTGACGGGACCAATGACTTTTGTATCATGACATTCAAAAGCACACTGAATGATGAACTTCGTGTCATCAACGTTCTTGCATAGGGCTTCCAGGACCGACTTTCCTACTTCACCTCCATGAGCTGCAGTGAAGTACAAGACATATTCTAATGCCTTGTAGTCCTTTAACAGATTGTGTGTCAAGATTCTGTTGAATTCCGAACGATTGTGGTTATACAGCGATGCAAGGTATAGGCTTGCGGTGTGTTCCTGCAGTAGCTTGTGAGGGAAACAGAACTCTTGAACGAACTGCTTTCCCTCTTGTTGTCTGATTTCCTTTGAGGCCAACCTTTTTTTCCCACTCAGAATCCCAACCTGACATGCTACTGCTGCAGCCTCATCGCAGGCTTCAATTTCCTCTTTGGTGAAGATGAGCTGATTTTTCAGCAACCCCTCGAAGGCCACACGACCAACCTTTGTAATGGCTTCAACAGCCTTCTCCATATGGCATTGATACCCTCCCTCTCTGTCAGTGTATCTTGAAGAATATTGTTCCCTCAGAGCGAAATCAATCTCTTTCATTAGTTGGGAGATTGTTTGAAGCTTCTCAGTTGTTTTGCGCTTAGATTCTACTTCCCACATGTAACACAGCATACAGCAAAAGATTGGGAATGGTGCCATATACTCAGAAACTACACTGTTAGTGTTCATGAAGTGGATGAGACTGGATGCAGAAGCTGTGTCATTTTTGAAATACTGTTTGATGTATTCATTTGTGTTTTCCTTCGTAAAACCCTCAACAAGAATGTAGGAGTACTTTTCATGGATTTTCGGAATGCTCTTGATTTGATCAGCTCCAAAAGGACGTGAACTAATGAGAACGGATGTGTTAATGAATCTCTCCCTTCTTGCGATCGAGACGATAGCAAGTTTACGGTTTGGACATTTCATGTCCATTTTAGCTTCGTCCAGTCCGTCCAGTAAGATCAGGACCTTCCTTTGATTCTCCTTGATGTATTTATCAATCCATTCCCCGTTAATCTCTGTGTCATCTGGAAAATGATTCATAACGATATCACCAAAGATGGAGCTATCTTCTATGTCTCGAAATGATTCGTGAAAGAGAAGAGTGATATCTTGGAGACATTTACCCATCGCCCAATCGAGGGCTATTTTTGCAAATAATGTCGATTTGCCCACACCAGCTTCTCCAAGAAAGGCTAACCGTGTTATGAATCCTTTCTCGGTCTTTTCTTGAATGAAACTGAACAGATCCTCATATCGAATTTCTTCTTTCTGATCTCTTTTACATCCTAACATTAAAATGAGACTGACGTAGATATGCTGCAGCCAAGTGCGTGACTCGGGGTCCATAGGAGATACTTTGACCTCGCTAAATTCTTCGATATATCTAGCCTTTAACTTCTCTCTTAATCGTTGTACTTCGTCAGGCATCTCACCGTGTTCACCTGAAAAGGAGAGAGGGTCAGAACAAGATGCAGACGAACGTGAGGATGATGGGTCAGACATTCACAACATCTCGACGTAGTACAAGAGAGAGAGAGAGAGAGAGAGAGAGGGGAGGGGGGTTTGGGGCTTGGGACGACATCTACACAAATTTGTTCACGCCTCCCCCAAAAAGAGTACAAAAATGGAGAAATAAGAAAGGGCTTTCCTACTAGTCTATCGATTTAATCCTATTTAAATGCGGTCAAGCCATTTTGCAACATTGTAGTATTGGTAAGCTATATAGCCCTTAAATCCAAATCATATGTCTCAATATGATTGTTCATGAAGTTTCTTCGAAAACAGAGGGAAGATAAGCGTCAATCGGTGGACAATTAGGGCGTATCTGACAACCCTTCCTGACGTTAATCTTTGTCACTGATTTGTTTTTTGCAATGTCCATTCATACTACATCCTAATGACAAAGTTTGAATCAGAATTAATGTGTAAGCAAAGACAGACCGGACGGTACCGCCAGACCAAAATAAGGAGCTCAATACTCCTTGTTCAAACAAATGTTATCTTCACAACTCTGTATAAACAGTAGCGTATATTTAGATTATATGGTGCCCAGAGTAGTCAATGAAATTGCAGACCCCCCCCCCTGCCTAAACTTGTCTACGTAAATTTACAAGCGAGGGAGCAAGGCGAGCAGCTTAAGCAATTCGCAACGGAGCGCAGCGATCGAGTAGCAGGCCTAGCCTATGTAGGGTTTCGCTTTTTATAACAATGATTTTTAACTATTTTCCTATTCATTTCTCTTTAAGTGGTGAACAGCAAGGGAACAGCATGGTAACCCAAGAGATCAGATTTTTTTTCAAACGTTGAATTTTTTTTTTTTTTTTTTTTTTTTTTTTGGGGGGGGGGGGGATAAAAGTTGAATTCCATTTTAAACAATCTACATATAAAGCTTATATACGAGGGAGCAAAGCAATGAGAACTACACTTTGATTTTCAAGAATGGAACCACTTAAAAAATGTTCTTTAGGAAAGATTATATTCTAACCGTATCAAAGCTGATCTTCAAAGCTCATGAAGATAACAAGTTTAGTTCACCTTTTCCTTGCAGACACGTCTCCTCTATTTCTTTGAAGCCCACCGCCTGGAGAGCAGCTCTAAGCATGGGAAGTTGCTTGGATGGTTTGACCGTCTCTGCCCAATTCTGAAGCAGCATCACATTACCATTACTGGTCTTTCTACCTCCAGCCCAATTCGTCTCCAATGCCCGGTTGATATCAGGAGTCTGGACTCCCAGCTCAAGACCAAGTCTCCTTACATCACCATCATCTGATATGGCTTTTGCTACTTTGATGATGACGTCATCGAATCCAAGTGTTTGCCTCGATGTTTGACCACTACAAAATATATTAATTTAAAAAAAAAATTAAAGCATTTCATACTTTAAAGATAAAAAATAGTTATGGCCATGCGAGTACATTGTGAAAGAAACGTTATGGAATCGATCAGAAAAGGTTGATCATCTAGCATATAAGTATTTGTGTGTACTGCAAGGTTCTGGAATCATCAAAATGATAAGAAATTTGGCCCAGTCTTCGTAAAGTTTCAACTACTGTACACAAAAATATGTATACGGGACTACGCACACGTGCGCGACACGTGCGTTTATCTCTCACAGTCCAATAGATAAACTATATTACCAAATATATCAATTAGTAGGCGGTTTCCCGGAAAAATTGTTATCATCATGTATTAGTCAAAACATATTCTTTCATTTGATTGGTAATAAAGAGCTTCCATTTCATTTTTTTAAATTGGGGCGTTTCCAATACTGGTCTTTACCTTTAATGTAAACTAAACATGTAAACTGCACATGTTATCTAGTCTCTTATTCTTTGGATATCACGAATTTCATATCACTGAGTAAATAATCAAACAAAATATCCTGGTAAATCGTAATTTCTTTCTTGCTTGATCTTTCAGGTCACCGGTATGCGAATTCATTATTTTACATACTATACTAACAATAGATTCATCACATTTGTTAATCATTAATTTCCATAATACACCCCTATGTGAGCCAGTATTCTAAGATTTAATGATAACATGTACATGTAGATATATCAAGACTTCAAATACACTTAGTCGTATTAGTGTTGAGTTTAATCAAACAGAAATATGAAATATTTGAACATTAACGTTTAGACTGAGAAGGATTTTTCAACTACAATGTCGTTCTGTTAGGATATATAATACGACCGTCTTTAGGGGCTTTCTTATATATATCAAAGGAACTTTGTCATATTGTTCAGATAAGAAAAATGGTGTTAAGGTAGGGACATTAGATGTACAATTAAGGATAATCTAAAATTTTGAGTGAAAACAGACCATTATTATTGCTAACAATTGGGGAAAACTGATCTGATCGATTCTTTAATTCTCCCAACTACACTGTTGGTCATAATGGTGGAATATTTTTTTTACCCCGATTTATTGGAAGGATTTTAACAATGATTTATTCCTACTAGATCTAAATAATAGTATACATTCTCAGGTTTTATTGAATAATAATTTGTGAGTGTTTGTTTTGCATGACTGCTAAAGCATGTGTATGCTACTATGCTAATCTACTATGGTCCTACGTCTTTCAGTCATAACTGACATTAATGAGAAATAATGCCTCATAAAAGGGCACTAATAAAGCATATCGACACGGTTTTTATCCTGGGGGCTCACAATATCGAGGCCATTGCTTAGCCACTGAATCATGACTGAACGCAGCGGGGGCTAGGATACGTCGCCGCCCCCACAAATACAAAAAAACAAAGAAAATACAACAATTTTTCAATAATTCATTGCATTTTGCCCCGACCCCTAAAATAAAAAAAATCCTCTATGTGGGCATGCATGGCCCTACAGAGGAATTTTTAATGTTGGGGACCGAGGAAAAATGCAATAAATTTTTGATAATTTATTGCATTTTCTTTGTTTTTTTGCATTTGTGGGGGTGGCGACGTACCCTAGCCCCCGCTGCGTACAGTCATGATTCAGTGGCTTAGCAATGGTTTTGTTAACTGTGAGGCCCCAGAATAAAAACCGTGTAGATCAGCTACATTAGTGCCCTTTTGTGAGGCATTAATCCTCATTACTGTCAGTTATGACTTAAGGACGTAGGTCCCCTAGTTGATTAGCATAGTAGCACATACATGCTTTAGCAGTCACGAAAAACAAATACTCGCAAATTATTATTCAATACAATCTGAGAATGTATACTACTATCTACATCTATTAGGAATAAATCATTTTCAAAATCATCCCATAAATTGGGGTAAAATTTTTTTTCCACCATTATGACCAACAGTGTATATTATCATAATTTAATCATATTTCAGGAGAATGTAAATCGTCAAAAAGCAATGAATTGGCTCTAAATAGAGGTATAAAGGTGTCGTGGTCGAGTGATATGTCGCCGGGAAGATCTCCCCCTTGGGCTGCCAAGTGAAAATGTGATGTGCATAGAAAAACGCCATCATAATGTCCAGACCCAAACAGTCTTAGTAGATGTATGGCAGGAAAACATCACTTATGGGGTGCAAAATAGCAACAACAACAAAATCGCATCGCCACTTCGCGACTCGTGGACGATGGTCCGCATGTAGTAGATGCTAGGGAAGCCCCCCCCCCCCAAAAAAAAAATAAATAATAAAATCGCCAAGCCGCTTCGCGACTCGTGGACGATGCTCGTCATTGGATCCAGTGGCGGATCCAGGGGGGGGGGGGGGCCGGGGGAAAAAAAAACGTGTAAAAACACGTTAATTTTACATTTGGCGATCAAGGGGGGAAGGGGAGCAAATTTTCAAATTTTCGAGGGGCAACCCCCCCCCCCCCCCCCCCCCCCCACTGAGCGCTTTTTCGGACGGCGCGATTTTCAAATTTTCGGGAGCAAAAACGAAAAAAAATTGGGCCCCTACCTCTAACAAATTCTGGATCCGCGCCTGATTGGATCAACCCCCCCCCCCCCCTTTGGTAAAAAGCTAGATCCGCCCCTGGGAGGGGGACATGTGTGGGTGGTTGTGTGCTTAAGATATTGCACTTAGGTTTCAGGAGGGAGAAGGGGTATAAGCATATTGTGCCCCTCCCAATCTGCCAGTGTTAAGAAGAGGAGAGCAATACGCAACGTATACAATAAAGTGCGTGGCTGTGTAGATCGTACTACTATCTACACAGTGCAACGAACTTTTCTTCTCCAATCAATGATGGGCGAACTATCTGGCATCACGTGATTTACTTTTGACTAATCGTAGAGCAAGATTATTAGTATGTGGAATATAAATATCATTATCATAACCCTATCCCAAATACACATTAAGTAGGACCTAAAATATATAACACCAGTAAATGCAAGGAGCATATACATGTACGTGCATTTATAAAATATGGTATCTTGTTGAAGGAAAATTTTAAAGTAACAGATCGGCTCCGTCATCAACGTCGTCAATTTACAAGACGACATCGCTGATGGAGCCGACGTCGTTGGGCAAATGTCCTCTTCACTTATCAATTGAGGTTTTTCCTGAAGAGCTCTAATGGACGACTGAGGTTTTGAGGAGATTGGAACCCTACCAAGGTGGATTGAAGTGTCATGATCAGGCGCGGATCCAGGAATTTCTTGCCGGGGGGGGGGGGCACACGGTTGTAAAGAGAAAATATATATATATATATATATTTTTTTTTAAAATCCCCCCCGAAAAAAAATCGCAACGACTCAGCCAGCCGCTGAATAAGCTGGGGGGGGGGGGGGTTACAGAAAAAAATTAAATTTGACATTTTGCTCTGTTGTGGGGGGGGGTAAGGTCACCTTTTTAGGTCAGCCATTTGCATATTATTATTATTATTTTACCCCCCCCCCACAAAAAAAATTGCCTGGGGGGGGGGGGGGACGACCCTGTTTTTGGTGCATTTTGGGCGAATTTAGGGCTGATTTTAACTCATTTTTTTGGCAGGGGGGCACGTGCCCCCTGTGCCCACCCCTCGATCCGCCACTGATGATGTGTGGTTGAATCAGCAAGCGATTTTGTTTTATGGACAATAAAGCTAGACCACATCTTGTCCAAATCGCCAAATAATACTTGTAAGATAACGGGCTCGAGCGCATAGAGTAGCCAGCTCCATCAAGATCCCCTGACAACGAGCAGCTTTGGGACGACATCAAGTAAGACTAAGAATGGAGTTTAAAAAGTATGTTCATTTAGGAAATTGTAAAAGCTAATGTGGCCATCCTGAACAAATACAACTTTATTGAGCTCTTACTGTAAACCACACTATATGACTTTTTGGTTGTTTTGTGGTGCGCGGTCACATACTTGCCTGTTTACAAAATAAAGCTTTGAATGAATTAAAAGGAGGGCCATCGTTTATAGCGTGTTGCCGTATATACTGAAAAAAAGCTTCGTTGTACCTTGGAGGTTTGGTGTTTATGATGTCTTTCCTTTGAGATAAATTACGATAACATTATATTTTAGTTTTCACTATACGCACCTCCATGTTTCACAACATGTGCCGATCATTGTGTATTATTATTACTACCAATATTTCATTTGCATGACATTTTAAAGACCGTCAATACTACTGGGCCATAAGGGATTAAACCACCTAGCCAGTTCACTGACAGGTGGCTATCTCATCAACTCAGCTCTCAAATAACATAAGAAAAAGAGGATCATGGGGGACCAACGGAAACCGATTGGAGGAAGTTTTCTATATAGAGGGAGCAAGTAGCTACAACAGTGGGGGTTTAAAGAATATTAACCTGAACTACTCTTAAAAGTGATTTTACTCAGTCATCATGGACTTACAGTGGCGTTCGCAGGATTTTTTCACTTAATAAACGCGGGGGGGGGGGGGGGGGAATGGTTAAGAAGACACTTTTTTTTTGGGGGGGGGGGGGGTCCCGAAATTTGAAAATTTGGCATTTTGGCCCGTTTGGGGGGGGGGGGAAGGTCACCTTTTTTAGGTCAGCCATTGGCCTTTTTTAAAAAAAAAATTTTAATTTTATTTATTTAAAAAAAAAAAAAAAAAAACAATCAGAAAGGGGGGGGGGGGGGAGGTGGTTCCCAAGAAACATACATGAAACATACACATAAACAAAATCGAGGGGGGGGGTTAACCCCAAAACCACCCCCCCCCCCCCCCCACTGCGTACGCGCCTGTGGGCTTAACGTATCTGTACCTTGTACTTGGTGTGTCATTACTCGAGGGTTCAGTCATCTGTTCGGTTTTCAGCCTCTCTGCCATCGTGAATGGTATCCAGGCTGAGGAATAATGTCAAGATATAACAATAGATACATTATATGATAAACAATCAAAAAATGAGGTCCACTGTAAGGCGGTTCAAGGCTTGCCTGCACGGGGCATAAGTTCTTTAAAACTAAAATACTTAGAATCAGATCTAATTAACTTATATGTTGCTATGTCGGGCCAGCCTCGGGCAAGCTTTCAGGTTGTCAAGACCAGTCTCTGTTTAAAGGTGTGGATGAAATTCGAATATGTTAGTGACAAATTTCATTTTTCCGAGACTTTGTTTGTACTCTCACTACACCGGTCACATACACTGTCGCTCATTATAGTTGGAATATTTTTTTTTAAATCCTTTGTACGGCCATGCATTATGGCTCAAGGCATGGGCACAAAGAAGATTTTTTTTTCTGCTGGGGACCTAGGGGGAAATTCAATGAATTATTAATAATTTATTGCATTTTCTTTGTGTTTTTTTTTATTTGTGGGAACTGCCCCCTACTCTAGCCCCTACTGCCTATAGTCATGGTTCAGTGGCAAAGCAATGGTCTCGTAACTATGAGGCCCTAGGATCAAAATCGTTTAGTGCCCTTGTGTGGGGCATTAATCCTCATTACTGTCATTTGTGACTTAAGAGCATAATAGCATACACATGTTTTAGCAGTCACGCAAACAAACACTGGCGAATTATTATTCAATAACATCTGAGAATGTATACTATTATCTAGATCTATTAGGAATAAATCATTGTCAAAATAATTCCATAAATTGGGGTAAAAAAAAAATATTCCAACTATAATATGAGCGACCGTGTATACGTGACAAACAGTCGAGGTGCTTTCAAACACACATTGCTTCACCAAGAAACACGTACCGGTATATGGCGGTCAATTTATATCACTGTTTAGAGCATGAGTCAAGTATTCTAGATATTTTTGAGAAAGTTGCAAATTATGTACAAGATCTTGGACAATGGTAAACGAACGAGGAAATTATTCTTGTTTGGATATGAGAGGTCCCGGTATCCAATCCCGGATAGGCCTCTAAAATTATGGCGTAATTTTTTTTTGTGTGTGTACCTCTAATGAGGTGTTTATTTATATTCAAAAATCAAAATAAAGTTGTGAGAACGAATACAACGCACAATGTTATCAGTAGAAATCACATATTATTTCTCAACTACACAATATTTTGCCACTTTTCATTTTAAGTGCTTGTTACAGTTTCTTTGGCAACCTCTGGTCAGGTTTTTTAAGCTCCTGATTTACAAAAATTCTGTTTTTTATTTCTCTTTCAAATACGTATCTTAGTTTGAAACGGTTTTCATTAAATCCATACTTATAACGGAATAACTAACATTTTGTATCTACCATCATTAAATGAACTATTAGACTTAAAGCCAATGATTAACAACAGTGATTCTTCCAAAATATTGTGAGGTTTCCGCTCCTCCAGTTATCCAGGAGTTTCTGTAGTTTGGTCAATTTATTTTCCCAACTCAATTTTGTAGCATAATATAAGTCTGCAGATATAAAATATCCTAAATACTGTACAGGTTCTGTTGACCAACACAGATCAAGGTCGAATAGAGACCACCTTTTCTTGTCGTCTCCAATCCAGAAAAGAACAGTTTTATCTTTATTTAATTTCGGGCCTGCGACTTTTCCAAATAAGTCGTATTCATCTATTATATTCTCTAGCAAAGCATTTCTAACCAAGAATAAGGTGTCGTCAGCATATTGTAAAATTGTAAGTGTAGAGTGGCACCCTTTAAAATCAAATTTCTGAATGATATTATTTTTCCTAACTCTATTAGCCATGAATTCAGCTGCCAAAAATGAACAGTAATGCTGAAAGGGGACAGCCTTGACGAATCCCTCTCTTGACTGGGAACGTTTCTGATATCCATCCATTTACAATGACTGAACTTGAAATGTTCGTGTAAAGAACCACGACCCACTTTCGAAACGACGGACCAAAGTTCAATTTCTCCAAACAGTTATTTACAAAAAGCATGTCAATAGCATCGAAAGCTTTTCATAATTGCTCCAGTTACAACATTGTTTGTGTTCGGGTAAAATCTTGAAATAAGCAAAAGCCTTTGGCACCGTAAAGGTTAAAGAAACTTTAAAACGAAAGGAAAATGAATACATTTTAACAACATCTTTCAATGTTCCATATTTTTAAGGCTACATTCTACAGGACCGACGATATTGGTGTTGTGTGCCATGTGACAACTTTTTGAGGGTTCGATAGACTAATGACCCACAAGATCGATATTTTCATGTAATTCCGTATGTATTTATTTGTTTTGTTGTTTTTGTGCACTGTCAGTCTTTATACTGGGATGACACATTTTATCAAAGATATTTATGCACAAGTATTAGAATTGGATGTGATGTTTCATCTTTTTGTATAGATATGTAATGCCTTATATACACTCTACTCGGTGGACCGTCATTAATTTGATGATTTTCTGGGAAATACTACTACATTTAATACTATAATTCTATTATTCCAATTCGCCAACATAATCGTTGAATTATAAAGATGGTCTAGACTTGCATGGATATAAAATTTTCTATTGAAGTGTATTAAAATATTCCACAAAGATGAAAACAAGCCAAACGGTTTTTGAATTTAATTGTAAATACCCTCGCTAAAAACAAGTTTACATAGATCATATTAAATTGCTTTAAGGGTGCTTGCGATCTTCAATATCAAACGAAAGCTGGAGGATATAAGGATAATCATCTGACATAAACCAAAGTACTGAGAAAGCAGCATCGGAATAAAGTAATAAAATGAGACTATGCAAATACTTATAACAGTTTGAACATATTCTTAAAATATGTATAACATTTCACGTTTTGTACGAATTCAAGAAGAATTGTAAAAGTTATAGCATTTTGTATTCATAAGCTATTGCAAGTATAACAGACTTCAGCTTCCACTTGGCAAGGTGTCACCTGTGACTCATCCGTATGAAATAAATTATATGGTTTTCTGAAAAGTTGTCCAGACTCTTGGCCTGCAAGCTTGCATGGTATATCCTCTAAGCCTGCAACTAAAACAACAATAACCACAATTACAGCAGCAACAACCTCTACAATTATCTAAATGCAAGCATTTTGATAGTAACAATTAGGAACTACATCTAAACGATATTACCCCACAACTTTTGATAAACATTCATGAAATTAGAATGAAGCAGAACAAATTCAAAATATCGGCCTAGTAGGCCTACACCAAATTTGTCTCACTTGTTTTTACAGCCACTACAGATATTTGTATTTATTTCTTAATTCGTAGAATGTTGTATTGTGGGATGAAAATTATAAGTAGGAAGAAAGTAAAATGAAATACAAGACAGAACAAAACGAAGCTTGCAGAAATAAACTATGTTCTGTGTGGTAGTTTATTCCAAATGCTCTGTATATTTCATATACAAGACTTGCATGTCACTTTATTTATTCATGCAAATCTCTTTATTATTGAACATCTCATGCATTAAGTATGAGCAGGTGTTTTGTTTTATTGAGTATTCTAATATTGGGCTATTGTAGAATTGTTATATTGTTTTACTTTGCATTGTAATTGCATTATTTAATACGGGGCTCTCTTGCAAAGCAGGATGTACGTCCTTAAGACACTACCCTTTATAAAATTATGGAACACATAATAAATAAACGAATGAACGAAATGAGATAAATATTTCTAGATGTAACAGTATCCATTGTCAATATTCCATGATAAGTATTCCGATCTTTAGTTGGACTTTAGTACCTATACATACATATGACATTACATTACAAAATAAATATCATAAGTGAATCCTAATCCCTTCATAAGCTGGAAAAAAACCTTTCATGCATCATCATGGAACATTGGGCTCAAAAGTTTATGCAAATATTGCAAATTGCCCAACATTGCCCGAATGTTGAAGTTGCTCTTTTACGACATGAGATCACGAATCATCAAAACGATCATCAACAACGACAACAACAACAAATCTTCAACGGAAAGACATTTTTAGGTGCCTTAAATGTAAAGTCCACTATCAAACCTGGGATAGGGGGGGGGGTCGCTTCCAACAAAATGATGTTCCAAACATTACCAGGTCCAAAATGCCTTATCTTTTCCCTGGTATAGACACACAAAATTTAAAACATGCTAATGTGGGTATAGTCCACCTTCCCATCATTCTCACAAGACTAGCAAAATTTAGTCGAATTGTTTATGATATTTACTAAGGGTTAGGATTTCTGCAATATTCATTTTTCCATCTTTAAAAAAGAACAAATATAACATAGTATTGACACATTGTTTTAAAATAATAATCTAAACATAAAAATGGAGGGATACCCTAATAAGCAGCTTGCTTGTAAGCAGGACCCCGGTATACAATATAACATCTACATCTTTGTTAGAGCAATTTATAAACATTTGAGAGAGTTATGAAACAGCAAAATTATATATAAATCTATCGCTTGGATCAACCGATTTCATAGGTAACGAGTCAAAAATATAATATATAATACTCACTGTTCGCCTAGATCCTGCTAAATGCGAAATGAATCGTGGAATGAGACGTCGAGTCCTCTCCTCAGAAATATTTATCCAATTATAGCCGAGCTAAAATGATTTACACATAATCTTACGCAGTTGAATTAAAAGTAACGGGCAACAAGTGACATCAGAGTTCTCTTCCAGAACGTTTTAGAAGGCGTTTAAAATGTAACTTTCACAAGATGAGAGAAGAGTTTGTCTCTGTGTCATGAATCCAGATTGACAGATGACAAAACATGCAGTGAGTCGAGGAAAATGATCTAGAAATCAGTCTTATGCGAATTCCCATTGCACAAATGTGCTTCTTTCCATCAAATTCTAATGAAAATGTGACTTGATATCCCGTATCAAATGAAAAGCAAAGGCTGCGTGAGTCCGTATTTCATAGTCTGGTGACAATTGAACATGTACCTATTGCACGTCAGTCGAGCCATGTAGTCCAAAAATGAAACCAGGGGAAATTTCGAATAACAAAAGCTAACCAAACAAACAAAGTTATTCATATCTCTCGCTCAGTGAGTTATAGATGGTTATTGTAATGCAAATCAAACACGTCATATAGTGGTCTGGGTATTCCTCCCAGCAAGAGGAAACCGTAGTCTCTACCCATGCAGTGAGCACTGTTTTTTTCCCTCGAAAATTTAAAAATCGCACCCCCTCCCTCTTCAGCACCAGGGGAGGGCCAAATAAAGGTAACATTAACGTGTTTTTGCCTGCTTTTTTCCCAGGGGTGGGGCCCGGGTCCCAAGGTACCCCCTGGATTCGCCACTGGGTGGGTGTGTTCTTTACACGGGAAATGTGTTATGTTTGCTGTTCCAAACAGATCAAGCAAACTTTCAGTGAATCCAGACGTCCCTTTTTCAAGATGGAACTTCCTGACTCGTTATCATATTTTAGTCTACCAATGACATTGTGGGCAATTGCTTTCTTGACCTGTAGCTGGAGAGTGAATCAACTTAATCTTTAGTTTCTTGTAGATCATTTGGTAGTTTGGTACAAACGATATGGTCTCATTGTCCATGTTGAAATGCAAGAGGGATTATTTTTGAAAAAATTGATAATTTACAAGCCATTGAAATAATTTTGTCATTATTACATTATTAAAAATGTTGAGTTGAATAACAATCATCACCCGACATTATAAGATTCTATAAGTTACTGTATTCGCAGACTAACAACATTATACAAAAAATGTTATATGGAACCTATCATGTGTTTAGTGTCTTTTCTTTCTTCTTCTTTGTTCGGAGTACATAAAGGATATGGGTTTACTCATGGAACCTGGATTTTTCGAGACAAGAGAGAGAGAGAGAGAGAGAGAGACAGACAGAGAGACATAGAGACAGATACAGAGACAGACGGAAGAGTGACTTTGCCTGGAAACCACACAAACATATGCCCGTAGGATGGGTTAAAAGAAGAAATAAAAACACTTTTGAAAGGAATATTCTGAAAGGAAACGTACTTTGATTGAAATAATTTGTTATGATATTTCACGCTAGTAGGTTTTACATAAAGAAATTATGATCACTGATTATATCCAGAGAAGCAGGGAAGCTCTCATAAACCTGTTTGTCGAATAGATTCTAAAGAGAAAATTACAATAGAAAGCTGTTTTGGAACTTGAAGCATGTCCAAATTTGGGTATTACTTCGTTTCGCTTTGATACAAACATTCCTGGCTAAAATCATATACGAGAAAACTCAGACGGACGTATAACTGAATTAAACAATGTAAACAATATTTTCGCTTCTGTACATCTCATTATACCTTATATGCAGGTCCACCCTCTTTGACAAAATTACAGATATGTGTATATATCATAATGTAATTCATAAAATAAGTGAAACCTTTGGACCTAGGATGTCTTTTAACCGTAAAGCTGATGTTGAATCCTAAGTGAAGGGCCAAAGTCCTGGATTCGCCACTGGAAGAAGTAGAAGAAGAAGGAGATTGAAAAGAAAAAGGAGGAGGATGAAGAGAAAAAAAGGCCACGTTCTTTGATTTTTCTACAAAATGTGCATGTTGAAATTGGTTTAGTGAGATATTCATTCACAGACACATACACACAGTTTAAACATTAAAAATAATATGAAGTACGACAGTGAATCAAAATAGAACAAAAAACGAAAAAGCCATAGATAATAGGCCCATTCAAATAAATGTTGAATTGATATTCTGTCATAAGAATGATTGTACTAAAATGGAGAAAGGAAAAGGAAAAGAGAAATGAAATGGCAAGGGATCAAAGTCAAAGGACAGAAGAAAGAAACGCTGAAAGAGGTTTTATTTTTTAATCAACTGAAAAACAGTTTCCTCTTGTGAACGATTTTCGTCATGACTCCAGACCGGTGCGTACGCAGGGGGGGGGGTGACCTTTACTATTTTTAATGTGTACGTTTCAGAGGAACCCCCTTTGATTTTGTTTTTAATATTAAAAAAATAATAACAACAACAAATAAAAAAATTATTGTGGTAATGGGTGACCCCAAAAGCAGACCTTACCCTCCACCCCCCCCGACAAAAATAAAATGTTTCGATCGGCCAAATTTTCAAATTTTGAGACACAAAAACAATGACTTTCTGGGGGTTATTGACCTAGGGGAGGGGGAAGTTTTCCGGGGGTGTTTGCCCAGGGAGTAATTATTGTCCTGATACGATTGCAATAATCGATTTCAAATATTGTGGCGAGAAAGCCCCCTATTTTAAAGTCAAGACATACGTATTCTTTGTTTCCACTTTACTTTATTAACATGCAATTATATGACTCTCAGATATTATTAGCAAAAACAACTTAAGATACATGTTTTAAAAAATGTGTGTAGAAAGACGCTAATTAATCAATGCAAAGTGATTCCCTTTTTGAGTACATTCTACAAGTATAATTCCACTATTGTATCCTTGTAAGTTGTATAAACCCTTACTAGGGTATTATTATGACTCTTTTGTATTGTTACCTGACTGCATATTTAACGTTGCCTTGTATACAATGTATTTAGTTGCTGATGAGCCTTCGGGCAAAACAGACTGTACAACACTTATTAATAAAGTTGAACCTTTTCAACCTCTACATCAATATATGTATATATACATATATATATAATTATGTTTACATATTCAATACATTTCAGATATCAATAACACGTTACAGTAGTCCTGCAAATCCATGAACATGTGAAATATATCAAAGAGAAATTCACCGACTTTCAGATGATTCAAGAATTTCTCAAGGCAATCAAAGAGCCTTTACAGAAGAACGATTTTGTTCAATACAGCTCGAACAAAGAGAATACACTTCTCACAACGTAACGAACAAGACTCCATTTCACTTGCCCTTATTCAGGTGTACTACGCACCAACTGACAAAATCATTACAACACAGGCATTAATGGAAATGATCATTACAATATAGACATAAATGGAAAAAAAATATATAATAGAGTATAAATTGATAAGATGTTAGAGTATAAACACTGTACAGGAACATTGGATGTTTGGAAGATATAACTTGAAATAAGTTGTGATTGTAGATAAGAATAAACCTTTGACATTTTATAACATATCACATGGGCCTATAACCTATTCAGATCTACTGATCATAGAAAAAGCATAAACATAACTTACATTGCATCATTGTGATGGGAAATAGACACGTATTCTAGTGCTACTTAACATAACGATAATAATTATGTAAATCGAGAGATGTGTTCCATCAAACGACATTTTCCAAACCATTTAATGAAAAATTATCTTTGTCTTACTACCCCCTGTCCACTCCTCTCTGTATTACTATCCGTCTTACTACAACAACTGTTGTATGCATGTCGTAAAAAAGTCTAGATTGCAGGTATACACAATATTTGATCTTGATTAGTTTAATACAAGAATATTATTACAACGAGATCGAAATTACTAATTCCTCTCTCATCCTGCATGAGTTTGACAAGAAATGACAATGGTAATTGAATACAAAAATATAAACACGAGATGGGGTAGACTTTCTCTACATATACAGCAATGGCAGTTGCATGCATGTCAACACATTTTATATGATGACATAACAAGTATTGTCCTGATTAGTTGCATAAAGAAATCAATATTAAAATGAGACAAGGTTACTAATTTCTTTCATAAATATTATATTTACATCGACGAATGTTACATACATGCCACAAATAGACTAGATTGTATGTATACACGATCAGATCACGATTTGATATAAGAATATCACAAGGAGACCAAGGTGACAAATTCCTTTTTTTTTTCTTTAAAAAAAAAAAATACTATACATCAATAACTGTTTCATGCATGTCACAAACTAGACTATATTATTTCAAAGTTAGGATCGTGATTAGTTGGTTGTATCCGCACTGGAAAATAATGTAATGACAATATATTTTAGGGTGATAAAAATAATAATAATAGCACGACATGTATGGTTCATGTGGTTATATGGTTTGAATGGATTTGTAAGAAAACATTGAGTAGACAAACTGTTTTCTTGTCACAGTTTAACCACATAAACTATCTGCAAAATATAATTATACTTCATAACATTGTATTTTCTTTAAACCTTTTATGTTCATGAAGCACGACATACTCTCAGGCTAACAACCATGACCAAACTCTTCAGTGAAGTATTGGCCATGCATGGCAAGTAGTTCAAGATATAGAAGTTATTAATGATTAATTTAAATTATGTCAACTCAAATCCAATGTGTATGGATTTTTCTATTTCCATTTGACTGAAGAACAAAACAAAACAAAAAACATAATTCCAAAAAATAAATGATATGATGAATATAACATATTTACAGACATGTACACTGTTCATATTATATATATATATTTATCATATTTGTGCATGTACAACTTATCAAGAAATGACCATGTTCACTTCTTGACTATAACGATTAGATTGAAACAAAATATGTTCAATACTTTGATGTCGAAAGCAAGAATTTATTGGATACGACAGAAATAATACTAAATCTTGTCTAGATCGAGTATATACATTTAAATACATTCTGCACATGGTGTTTTCAACAATCTTTCTTGACAATGGATGAATTTTCGGTTAAACAGGAAAAAGTCGATACAAATTACTTTACCCGTAGTTCATGAAATCATTCCTGGTATACCGGAAATTCTTACAGAAAACATGTATCACGATGATGAAGGATATACCAACAGATCATTACAGATAAGATTCCTTATGACCTTGTTATGAAAGTACAATGCAATATATTATCATCATCATTACAGTATAGTCAATATGAGTATACAGAAACCGGTTGAAATTGTATTAAACAATCAATTTAGATTTGTTCAAATTCTTTTCGATCCATTTCCTATTTCACATTTTACGTTCCACATTGTCAGTTCTATTTACCTGTAATGTAATGATAGTAGCAATGAAAACAAATTGTGGGTACAAATAAGTTCACAATTATATCAAATCAATTTTATTTGTTTGTAGTTACTTGAGAAAAAGGGGAAATGAAGAATCCTAAGGTAAAAGCATAGCTTGTTGGTTGTAGCGTGTATATCGTAGGCTCTTGGTTGTATTGCATAGATTGTTTTAACAGTATAACCCATCTTATGGTTATCCTATTTACATCACCAGGAACCCCCTTTGTAAGATTATGTAAAATGGTAAGGGTTCACAAGCCGTCAAACTTTGAAACGTGATTGAAATAAGTTTCTGGTTTTAATATATGTAAACTTATGGTATCCTAAGTAGATGTACTTATATTCAGAAATGAATAAATTTCATTAATTGAAATCTAAACAAAAGACAACGCAATAAATTGCTGCCCTTAGCCATTTGAGATTTTAGTCGAGTCTTTTCGATGATACTGACACAAAATTGATACTGAAACAATGAATGGAGAAGCTTAATTAGTTAATCAAGACAGGTAAGGGCGAAGGTATCTTTTTTCTATACCATCCTTCCAGATTCGAGGAGAACACAAGTGAGCCATTAATTTGTTTGTGCATGTTTGAAAGACATTTTATATACCAGTAAATAAAAAGATGTTTACTGTGTGTTGCCTTGTTTCCTCTTATTCCTCTTCCCTGTCCTGATTTCTTTGTGTTAAATCTATCGTGCTATCTTTTGATTCCTGCTTAATACCGGCTTCCTCCTATATGCTCTCTCTCTCTCTCTCTTTCTCTCTCTTTCTCTCTCTCTCTCTCTTCTCTCTCTCTCTCTCTTTCTCTTTCTATCTCTCTCTCTCTCTCTCTTTACTATGATATAATAACGATGTACTTGCAGTATTAGCACAAAAATGCTTTGCTTAGGTCAAAGTACTTCGACGAGGCTGCATAGAATAAAAAATTCGCCCCGAAAATAAGTCGACCTTCTCCATATGCTTCAACATAATTATAAAGTTATTAATTAAAAGTATCGAGACAGGGTATAAGCAGTAATATTTGTATGAAACTGTATTCCAAGCATTTTAACTCTCTATATATCCTTTAATTAGTTATTCGGGACTTTCGGGTAGCCTGGTTACCTCCACACTTGACAAGTTTCATTTTGAAGTCCGTAGTAGTCTTCTGCCATCATGTGGTCTGATTAGGGTCATCTTCCAACGTTGATACGTTTGCTTGACGGCCAAACGACATATTATGACCGTTGTGGTCAGTCGTCATACCACGTCTTCTATGATTATGGAAGCATAAGAATACCAGAAATGATATGTACTTTATATAATGATGGTTTTCTAAAAATATGTACCTTTCAAATAAGCAAAGTATTTTTGCAGTTGAATTTGAAAGAGGTAAATTCGATATTATCTATTTAAATAATCATAGTTTGATTTGATTTCATGTGATTTGTATACATTCCATATACATCAACATATCTACATTTACTATCTTATAACTTTAGATGTATATGATAATGACATGGTATATACAGAAAAGGGGTCGTCTTAAGCATAAGCTTGAAGTGACGTCCTCTCGAAAATGGAAATAAGAATCCATACAATATGAAGCAATGCATGGAAATTAGGTTTGATTTTCTTTTCTTCTGCATTCATGTATGTATACAGTTTTTCGATAACAATAATAATATAAAGTACAATAAAAAAAAAAAATCTGACAATAAATCATAAATAAATAAATAAGCAAATACATATAGGCCTACATATAAATTGTTATTTTTAAAAACGAAATGATGAGCTGTCATAAATACTAAATTTCCCCAAACATTATAAAACATTATAAAATTATTTGCGGAAGAATTGTAGGTAGTTAGGAAGGAAGCAAGATAAACAAAAAAAGCATAGAAAGAGAAGGGACAGAGCTGGGAGGGAGAGCAAGTAACATTAATTACAGTATTGGGAGGTGTACATATTATATATCAAGTCAAGTTGTGCATGTTTAAATAATCACCGTTGGACATTTACTATTCATGACAATAGGCACATTCTTAAAATAAATTATAAGTTAAAAATTAGTTTAAAATAAGTTAAAATAAGCTTCCAGGGATTGAAATTCATGTAGGTCAGATATCTAACGAGTAAATAGTTTGCATTCAGTTACGTCGAATTTATTTGTATGTTTTAACATTTAAATCCAATCAGTAAGGCGATGGATTCATTCACATGTCTTCATTTGAAGAATAGAGAAATTTATGTAAAATGCTAGGATATCATTTAGTAAAACCAAAGTTAGATTTGAATTTGAATACTATTTGCAAGCAATTGTATATTGATAAATAATTTTGTTCAAAAAGGTACTACAAGGATTAAATTTCAGGCAGGGAAGAGTTGACATATATATACATGTAGTATGGTGTTATTATCATGACCAAGGTAGCAGGCAGAGGAGGAGAAGACAGATATAGGCCTAAACTCCGTACCTATCACCTATCTTAATATCACTATTTTTTCATGAAATTTTATTTGTAGTTGTTTTTATTACAGGATTAGGAATATACAGGCAGTTTGATTGGAAAAATGCAGGCCACAAACAAGATAATGCCTCTTTCCAATGTAAACTCGTTTATAAACTACCGTGTGAGTCAAAAAAAAGTTTACACCTCGAAAATTGCTAATTATTTTAATAATCATCTATGAACAGTAAATTATTATACATCTCATGAAAGAGTGTTTTATCCCAAACAATTTGGTATCATTTTTGTGTGGTATGTGGTCACGCTTGGATGAACAGGACGCATTGTTTGCGAGAGGGCAAAAATCGACTTTCGCCAAAGTGATGCCTGCTTATGTATTATGTTGGGATTAGCGGAGTTAGGTAATGAATTGAATGTATCAAATGAAATGCTTTTTGCAGAAGCAAAGTCACACACAAACACGCGCGCACAAAATAATGTTTGTTGATATTTGATATTCGTTATTTGATACTTGTGGCATGATTAATTTTGTTAGGGATGTTATTTGGATCTGCAAAGACCGAATCAATTCCCAAATCCCAAATCCCAATTGTTTTACTCAAACATCACATAAGCAACTTTGGCACAAGTCTATTTTTGCACTCTCGCAAACAATGCCTCCTGTTCATCCAAGCGTGAACACATACCACACAAAATTATACTAAATGATTCGGGATAAAACGCTCTTTCATAAGATGTAAGGTGTAAACTCACACTGTATACCGGATATTGCTCGAAGAAGCATGTTTTATGTAGCGAATTTTTGCCATGGTGCTAGTGATTCGTTGGAATTTCTTTCAAATACACACTTGTATATTCAAACTCATGGATATTGCTATACAGAAGCATGTTTTTATCTTTCTACTTTTCGCTACGGATTTAAGTAGAGTTTATTTAGCTGAGATGCATAGCTACATGGTCATTTGACAAATTTCTTTGAATAGAGCTATAGTTTAAGATACTGGAAATTTTGCGTTTTTTCATCAGACATTTAGATCATGTCGCTTAGGACGAAGTGCAATGAGCGTTTTTGCCTTATACATCATGGACATGAAGGAAAATTACCTTTCTCTATGTCTGTTATATTTCAGTTTCCGGATATCATTACACAAATCAAGAACAAACCTATTGCTAGACATGATCATTTTAATCAGGCCAGAATAAGCACATTAAAGACAGCTTAAATTGTGTATATTGTTGATTCTCGGGTATCGATTGGGCGGATTTAAATATGGCTAATACAAAAAATAGCCTACTTTGAATCGATGGAATGCCAGAAAGAGGGAGAAATATCAATCGGAGGATGGGCATGTAATCAAGTATTATATCTTACCCCATGATGCTTCACGGTGACAGTCAGCTTGCCTTCACTGTTTACCTCAGCAATTAGTGGATCCAGATCCGCGTTGGTACAACACCAATCCAACCTATTGTAATAAAGCAGTACATTTCGGGGGCACAATACATTATCTTCTGAACTAACCTGATGTACGAGATGTATGCTATAAGGTGTGAGAATAGATGATAATTCAATACACATCATTTTGCTCTGTATTTAGATTGCATGACTGCAAACCATGGTATCATAACTGTGTATGTAGGATATAGCAAGGGTGTGAATATCATGATGAATAAAATAATTAAAGTATTGAATCTAAATTTATCTTAATAAAATCGCATTGGTATTAATAAATCCTGAAATCGAGAGAACATTAGATTATGTAAAATATTGTAAAATCTTCTATACAGCACCCTATCATCTAATCTTAAAAAATAGCCAATTTTGAGATGCATTCCAAACCTTAATGCAACTACCCTAACTAGTTTGGCAGTAATAACGATAGTTGGCTTGTGGGGCAAAGTGTTTTGTCAATTGTCTTTGATAACACCATTCAAATGTGTTAAATTAACGCTAGTTTTTCTCTTATCATGCTTATAATCAGGCATCTAGGTTATATCAACACCAAGTAAGCATATGTCTAAAGGTAAGGAAGAAATTAAAATTCGAATTTTTATCTTAATATCGTTGTAAATAACCGATTTGAACGAATCAAGTGCCCAGGCAACCCAATGGTCAAATGTTAGTTAACAGACTGAACACATTTTCTCACATAACTATGTAAATGAGCATTCATCAAAAAGATAATGATATTAATATCTGTTTATAACTTGCCATGATCTAAGATCCCAGTTGAATCAGTGCGAGTGATATAATTGATATTGCCCATGCCATTGAACATGATTGATACATTTTAATATTACTATAACTAGTGAATTTCACATGATAAGCAAATTAGCTTCCACCATTAAAATATCACAAATTTGATATTGTCATCTTAAATTGCATCCAAGTCCACTCTTACAACAATTCATGTATTGAAAGCTATGTATTATGGGTCTCCAGACATGGTGGATTAATTTTCTGATTTACATTGTAAATATTTAGCCATCATAATTATATGCAAATATAAATTCAAATTATAACTTATGATTTTAATACCAACAAATGAAAACTTAATTTGCATATTATGCATAAAGTTTAAACCCATCTTGAAATGCAATCATCCTTTTCAGTGGAACAATGCCAGTATCCATTGCATTATTTGAACTGATTTAAGTGGGATCGTAGATGGCAGATTATGAAACAAATCTTATTTTTTATTTTTTTATTATTTCTATCTCTCTGCCTTAAGCTTTTGCAAACATTAATCCTAATATGGATTCAAAAACTTGTCCACCTTTTTCATTGACTTTGAGAACATTGCACTGAATACGTGAATTGTTCACATTGGTTATTTACAACGATATTGAGATGAAAATGTGAAAGTTAATCTCTTTATGATTGTCTCTGAACAAAAAGCCAACAAAACCCCTACAAGTGCATTGGCTGGAATGAAACGTGTAAGGCGCTATCTATTTTTTTCAGCGGCTGGTTCAAAATTATCGAATATTTGTGGGGCTCCACAAATATTAGGAATGGTAATATTTATGAATATTTCAGCCGTCTGTGAACCGATGTTGATCAAAGATGATTTTGTCATTTAAATTGTATGTTCTTTCAAATTTTTCACTCAGTTTTTCATTATCTCATACAAAATTATTTTGGGTAGCACCCTCTTTACTAAAACTCAACTATCCCTATAAATTTTCTCAAACTTTTAGTATGTTGGTTAGAGTATTACATGTATCCTAGTTCACTGAAATGGGATAAATTATTTTGCAATTTGTTTGAGAAAAGGAAAATCGATTGGTCTTGATGGAATATCAGTATTTATCTTGAAATTAAGCGCCATTGAAATTGTTTCCACCCTCACCTACTTATTCATTAATCAATGAAAACTAGAAAATTCCCGAATACTTGGAAAACGGCTAAGATTGTGCCTATACATAAGAATGTCGATAAATCCTCCCTTGGTAATTTCAGGCCAATTTCGATATTGCCCTTTGTGACAAAGATTTTAGAACGAGTTGCAAAACACCATTTACTAGAGTACTAGCATGAAAATTATATTTTGTGTAGGGAACAGTCTGGATTCAGACCTAAGCATTCGACAACATCTACCCTAGTAAAGGTCACAGATTATTGGCTTCAGGCCATGGACGATTCTTAATACATAGGTACTGTATTTATCGATCTGCAAAAAGCATTCGACACTGTCGACCATCAAATTCTTATGAAGACAATGCATAACATCGGTATCAAAAATATGTCTAGTCACTGGTTACCTATCTAAGTTGAAGTCATAGCTATCTAAGTGGAATAACATGTAAAACCCTTGTAAATCATTCTCTTTCATCTTCCAAATTCATATCGTGCGGGGTCTCGCAAGGGTCGCTTTTAGGGCCCCTCTTATTTGTTATGTACGTTAAAGATCTTGCCAAATATATTAAATCAAGCAGTTTAAAGTTATATGCAGACGACACGGTGATATTTTACTCTGATACCTCAGTACGCGAAATTGAGTCAACTCTAAACAGCGACCTACTTCTATTACACCAGTGGATGAAGGAAAATAGACTAAGAGTATATTATGAATAAACTGTTTGAATGTTGATTGGTAGTCGATACGTGCTGTCGAAAGAAAAGAACTTAATTAATATCACCCTCCGTAAGACCAGAATGCATGAAGTGGAAAATTTCAAGTACTTAGGTGTCATTTATGATGAGCAAATTAAAAGGAATATTCACACTGATGCGATGGTGAAAAAATAGGGCAAATAGTAAGCATTCTGGTAAATTAAGAAGCACCTTGAATAAATCTCTATCAAAACTAGTATATAATGCAGTTGTTCTTCACAACTTCGACTACGGAGATGTTGTATATGGTTCGGCCTGTTAATATTTAATTGAAAGATTTCAAAATCGTGCTGGGCGTTTGATTTTACATATCAATCGTGACTTTCATATACCCAATTCAGAAATTCACAATGCCCCTAACTGGGAGTCGTTACACGACATGAGAAATCAGCATTTGCCAGCTTATATGGGGGAGGACTTTCGCAAAGTTTAAGTCCTCATAACTGTGTGTTGTACCTTCTTAATATCCTTCAATTTAGTCACAAATTAAAGTCATGTTTGATATTTATGTTTATGGTTAATTCCATAAATTAGGGACCCACTTAATGACATTTTTAGTGTCCTACTTCCATAAGGAACCCACACGTATTTGTGGCTCTGAGTAAAGGCTTAAATAGTGGAGTGAGATTGTAAAGTGATTCTTGGTGTCAGGATGCGATATTATGCTTGGAAATTACTTTACAATCTCACTCCACTATTCAAGTCTTTACTCAAAGCTACAAAATACGTGTGGCTTCCTAATGTAAGTGGGACACCAAAAATGTCACAATGTGGGTCCCTAATTTATGGAATTACCCAAATGCTTTTTGGACCCCATGGAAGACTAGTAGTGTCGTGCCTGGCAACTGAATATGGTTTATCCAGCCGTTCCATTCATACATATGTATATACTTGTATTGTATGTTGGTTTCAAAACGGAAAATAAATACTACTACTACTACTACTACTACAGTCAAAGGTTACCAACATGTGTCGTTCCACAATGTGTTGTACATGTACATTTGTAAGATTTTGACTATAATGTGGCAATCATTACCCTTGGAAATCAAAATGAGACTCACTCTATGCTTGTCAGGTTTGGATGGGTCTTCATGAGTTGGATAATCTCAGCTGCCTTCTCGTTGAACAGGCCAATGCGGTTTATGGACAGCTTGGTGAGCCCAGGACATGATGTTGTCACTGCCTTGCAAAATGACATGGGATCATTCAGTCTAGTATGTATTTGTCCCCGGATGTGAAGATGAGTTAGATGATGGAATGGAGAGCAGGCCATTGTGACGATGTTTGATGAGACATTCTCCTTGGCAGACCAGTCCAGTTGGAGGTTTTGAACTCGGGGACATGAAGTATGAAGTCCAAGATTCCACAGACTGGTCACATGCTTACCATACACAGACAGCTCATCTACTGAGGTTATTTGACGAGTCTACATGAAACAACAGCGGTGCAAAAAGGCTCGATCATTAATATGCTATGAAGGCAACCAACAATAACGTAAGAAATTATATTATATAACATGACTCATTATTGTTTTAATAAAGTAATTTTATTGTTCATATCATGCTTGGTAAAAATTCCACAATAATGCAATAATAAAACTTAAAGGGTTTGCATCAGTTTAAAGTAAAAGAAACAAACAAACGCATAGTTTTGTGGAAAATGGGAGAAACAATACAATTTTTAAGCTTTTGGTTGCCGAGAAATAAAGAGAATCTTCCATTGACAGTATATTTTCGATGCTGTTCCGTATGAACTATAAACGATTTATTTTTCCAAAATATTAAAAATACTTCTTTGCATTATCGACGTTCAACATTTTTTAACATTTTTATTTTTTCTCCGCTTTTTCTGAAACCTTCGTAAAATGTTTCTTTAAATTGTCTGTTTCCACTTAACATGAACAAAGCCAACTTAATATTAACGTGTGTTATTATCCTCCCTTTTCAGTGGAAGATGACGGGATTGTAGTACTCATTTTAATTTTTTTTATTGTGATATTCGTTTAGACAGGCTTTACAAAATCATTCAAATGATTTCACCTTAATGAAAGTTACACATTTCATGATGAAAAAAATAAGTAACATAAATCTATATAGAAAACAGCTTACGGCAATCATTCATTAATCGATATCTAACGACTTTAATACAATATGCATGGTTAAACTTTATCCTAATTTGAAGAACAAAATTGATATATAAAATCATGCATAGATTTACTAAACAGCCCGTAGTATGTCGTCTTAACTTGATAGCAAGGCAAAAACATTATCCTTTCCGCAATTCTCGCTACCCTAAATAGGTACGAAAATCTCGAAATTCGCGAGACGAGGTAATTTTCACTCTCTCGGGTCGTCACTACAACTTCCGGTATAGAGTCCCATCCCGCTGGCGCTAGCGCCTGTGTTCGCTGTGCAGAGTTTTCACGCACGCTAAAATCGATGCCAATCAGTGTAATTTGTACAAAAGAAAACCATCGTCACTGATGTCAAAAGACGCAAAAAACAAGACCGAGCAGACGACATATTCGGTGCATACACGTTGTGTGGCGACGGCGTTTTACGTTTGCGCTATCGCGCCTAGTAATATAGCGCCTGCACAGGAAGCTGTAATGTCGAAAAGCTATCCCATAATGCAATGCGCGTTTTCAGGATTTTCCCCGGATCTCGGCAGAATCGCTATTTGGGGTAGCGAGAATTCCTTTATCATTCACATTTAGCCTGTCTAGTTTTTCTGAACCCATTTCTTTTGAGCTTGGAACAAAAAGGGGATTTTTTATTTCATTCTTGGAATAGTAAAGGTACATACAGGTGTCTCTCCATCGTCGATGTCAACTGGTCTGACATCCCTCAAGCTGAGTGACTGGAGGCGTGGTAGCGAGAGAATGGAGCGTAGTCGACATGGAGTTATGGAAACATCCCCCATACCAAGCGTTTGGATCTGTGGAAAGATTATTTATTACACTGTCGCTCATAAAGGTGGAATATTTTAGTTTTACCCCAATTTATGGAATTATTTTAAAAATAATTTAAAAATAATAGATCTAGATAATAGTATACATTCTCAGATTTTATTGAATATAATTTGCCAATGTGTGTTTTGCGGGACTGCTAAAGCATGTGTATGCTACTATGCTTATTAACTAGGGGACCTGGACGCCCTCAAGTCATAAATGACAGTAATGAGGATTAATGCCCCACAAAAGGGCACTAATATAGCACATCGACACGGTTTTGATCCTGGGGCCTCACAGTTACGAGGCCATTGTTTTGTCACTGAACCATGACTGTACGCAGCGGGGGCCTAGGGTAGGGGGCAGTTTACATAAATTAAAAAAAAAACAGAAAATGCAATAAATTGTCAATAATTTATTGCATTTTACCCCGGTCCCCAACATAAAAAAATCCTCTGGACGGCCATGCATTATGGCTCAAGGCATGGGCCCACAGAAGATTTGTTTATGTTGGGAACCGGGGTAAAATGCAATAAATTATTGAAAATTTATTGCGTTTTCTGTGGTTTTTTTTATTTATGGAAAGTGCCCCCTACCCTAGCCCCCGCTGCGTACAGTCATGGTTCAGTGACAAAGCAATGGCCTCGTAACTGTGAGACCCCAGGATCAAAACCGTGTCGATGTGCTATATTAGTGCCCTTTTGTGGGGCATTAATCCTCATTACTGTCATTTATGACTTAAGGGCATAGGTCCCCTAGTTGATAAGCATAGTAGCATACACATGCTTTAGCAGTCACGCAAAACATATATTGGCAAATTATTATTCAATAAAATCTGAGAATGTATACTATTATCTAGATCTATTATTTTTAAATTATTTTTAAAATAATTCCATGAATTGGGATTAAAAAAAAATATTCCACCTTTATGAGCGACAGTGTAGTTCACACCGAAGTAGAATTCACAATGCTATCTAATTATTGTTTTTACTAAAATAAACACCTTTTTAAATCACAACTAAAATCAGATGAATCTGCATCTCAGTAACTTTATCATTCACTAAGTCTGATTATTTCGTCTCTATTTCTGCTATAGTTCAAATGAATCAACATCCAATAATTATTTTTAAAAAGCATTTTAATACGCATGGCATGATTTAATTCAATAGAGGTTTCTTTTTTTATCAATGGGATGACATTACATCAAAATGATATCTTCAAGAGAGTATGTTTTACTTTTTCCCCTTTGTTTTCAGTAGGCTCAATCCATCTGTTTCTTTCAACGTGGATTAATAAGCAATTTATTAATTATTCTAAATTCACTAGATACAAAAGGACACTCGCATGAATACATATTGCTTCAGATATCGTTTATTAGACAAGCACATGAGTTGACATTGTGCTTGCCATATTGTTGATATCAGGTATATATTACAAGAAAATTGTGAGAACAGTCTTAGGCAATAGTTGTTTACCTGGTAACTTGGTAATGTGGAATACGGTTAAAATCAGTTATATCATGAATTTATTACATTAATCGGTTCGTAATGCGTTGTAAACGAAAAAAACATTATGATCCAAATACTCGTGCATGGTAACATAAATTATTTATCTACTATTACAAACTATTAGTTGAGGAATACATCAGAAGGACTTTTCTTTTGATTATTTTAGTTAATCAATTTTTATGAATTAATTATCTTTACTATAAAATCGAAGAGATAAACACCGTGGTATTATGCTTGGTTATTCAAAGTAGGCCTATTAGAATCTAACATTTCTACATTGCCAAATAGTAACGAATAACCATCTGTCTATAGTCAATAATGATAAATATATAACAAATTATGTAATATATACATATACATGTGTGTTTAAAAGAAAAATCCAAGTGATTTTTAAGATACATCTATATTTTTAATTCCATGTTTACATTTAGTAAGGAGGGACATCATTCTCCTTTATGAGTACATAATGTTTCAAACTTTTCAATCCTTTAAAAAATGGGCAAACATTCTAATATCTCCATCTCATGATATAAGAAATTGCCAAGAAAGATCAAGAAATAATAAATACAAGAAAATAGTCTACGAGAAAACATTGACAGGGGCTGAGAAAGCGAAAGACAGAGAGCTTGAGAGAGAATGAGAGAGAGAGAGAGGCAGAGAGAGGCAGAGAGAGATAGAGATAGAGATGGAGAAAAAAAGGCCCAAAGGGTATTGGGTGTGGTAAGAGAAAAGAAAGACGAGATGAATAAAAACAAACAAATGTAATTAACTAGACTTTAATTCGTCAATTAGACGAATTAGGTGATACGTATGATAGTGGTTTACATAGCGAATAATGCATTACACGATATATTATTTTGTAAAATGCTTCTCCCATTTATATGCTTCTCCCATTATGATCTATTCATATGTCAAGATTAAATTGTGTCTCCTTGATCATCTTGGATCTAGGGAAGATAGATTGAAACAATATATGACCTTTGACCCTGTGCAGTAACCAGTTACACATTTGACTCTAATTTACATCATGAAGAACACCTTTTGACGATTTTTATCTTATTCAAAGAAATGAAAATGTAATTGATAAATGATTATCATCATTATGATAATGATGATCATGATGATCATGATCATGATCATAAGCGCGATCATGACATCTTATTGAAAAAAGAGGGTTGATTTAGATAGCATATAGTCTCAGCTACAACATACTCAAAAATCAACAAAATCCAAGCCGAAATAACGGCGATATTGCTCGCAAAAGACAGGAATGTAGAATCCAGATTTGAAAAAAGTCATCTCCTATAGGGATTACACGCAAAAAGTAATGGATTAAGTGAAAATAGGGTAATAATAAAGTAAAAAGGGTTATTTATGACATTATTTGCGAATCTACGTGTTTAAATAATCAAAGGAGATGGTACAGTGAAGGTCAAAAGGAAAAAAAAAGTGAAAAAAAAAGTGTTGGAGACACCCGGAATCGAACCAGGGATCTCGAGGTTGGAAGTCAAGTGCGTTACCGATATACCAAAACATCTCCCATAGCGATTACACGTAAACGGGAAATGGAATTCAGAAATCCTACTTTGCAAGTGAAATATGAGCATAATCCCGGCATCTGATCGAAATATAAAAGGCACACGTGTGATAGCTTATTGTCTCAGCTACAACATATTCGAAGCTCAGCGAAAACAAAGCTAAAATATGGGAGATTTCGCTCGCAAAAGACAGGAGTGTAGAATCCAGTTTTGAGAAAAAGTCATGTCCCATAGAGAATACACGCAAAATGTGAAAAATTGACATGCCTCCTTTAATCGCAAAAGTACGCCTTGATGCCTTAGTCAAAATGAAAAATTGTGACAACTATACTTGTAGCAAATTGTCTCAGCTAGAACATATCAAAATTTAAAAGAAAATTGATCAACATTTACAGAGATACAATTAGTTTTCCAAAAATATGCTGACGTCATAATATGCAAATTGAAATTTTGAGTTTGGAGGCCATTATGATGACATCATGAGTTAATTGAGGGTCAAATGAGACATGAAATCATATCTCCAACTCATAATCTATCTAAATATGAAAACATATTGGGAGTTCCCATCCATTCTGAACAGTTACAATGAATTTTGTATAGGCATGTTTTTGCCAATGTATGGTGGATAAAGATAACGCAGACCTGCGCGTGCTGTCAACTTTGACGGACGCTCATTGCGTTATTAAAAGGTGAACAAGTTATCAAAATGCTTGGAAAAATGTACCAAATATAATGACAGAAAAAATTCGGCGATTCTATATTGCAAAATGCCAGTACGCGCGAAAATGCGCGCGCATGCGCGTGTGCGTAATTTTTTTATCAAATGCTCCATATAGCCTGAAACGGATGTAAAAAAAAATTTGGATGATTTGGAGCATTTTAATTTTTTTCGCGCGCGTAAACGCGCGGACATAAGCGTACGCGCATTTTTGCGCGCATTTATTGACTTGAAATTGACCGGACGGATATTGAGTTTAATCATGATAAATATGAATGAAAAATGGCTTTCCTTTATGAAGATATGATCATAAGTTGATTTTCACAAAATGGCGCCTGGATGACGTCACGATGACCTTGACTGTCTGAAAAGTCACACAGTTCTAAGTTAGACTAAGATCTATCATCATTGAAAGTTTCATGATAATGGCTTTATTCAGTCTTGAGATATCCTGCGAACAAATTCGAGGAAGAATAATAAAAATAAATAATAATAATAATAATAATAATAAAGAAAAATCTTGACGAAATCAAAAGGTGATACGTTGACTTCGTTACGTATCACCTAATTATAGCTAGTTAAAAAACAGAAACCGTGTCTTTTCAAGCAAAATAAAAGTGTTATAATCGTTTATTTACAAGACACATGTAAAGTTAACTTCTTGCGACTATTGACACAATTTAAAAAAAGAATGCGAAATAAAAATTACAGGATTTTATACACACTTTTTATGAATCTATATCATTATGACACCACAGGTCATTCTATTCACATGATTTGTTTCCTTGTTAGCATGGTCAAACTATTTATTATATCGATATGAGAGTTCTCGTTTATAATGTGAATAAAAGATTTCTTTTTAAAAAGTGTGAAAATACAGTTACCCCCAAAAGTTGAATTTGAAGAATGCAAAACTATTTGGAACAAATCGTTTCCAATTGAAATCTTGTTTGGTATACCTTTGATTTTGATGCCTCCCTGGCCATCGTCGAGTAGAACTCATCACTCAGCCCCGCAGAGTCCAGGTTCAGTGATCGAAGATTTGGCATAGAGCAGAGACCTCTCGCGTAATGAGAGGATGCAGCAGAACCCAGATATGCGTCATGGTGCTTTAGCTGCTCAATCTGGTGATGTGATAGGACAGGTTGAATAGAGTGAATAGTATCATCAAGTATAGACGACGTGATTTTTGAGCGTAATTAATGTAAAATCACAAACCTCTAATTAACTTTTAAAGCAAGACAAAAAGAAGTAGAGAGGAAGAGAGAAAGAGAGAGAGAGAGAGAGAGGAGGGATACAAAAAAAAAGGGAAATGAAAATGTTATATTCGTCTATTTACAATGCACATGTAGAATTAGTATAATGGGACTAATCGCATACTATAAGTACTTTCTTTCTTTTGTTTAAAACCGCATACTATTTATAGGATAAATAATTTTATAGTCGCTTTTTAATTAATCTATATCATTCTATAACTTTTGTTCTTTTCACATTATTTGTTTTCCTTGTCAATATAGCCAAACGAATATGAGAGTGCTCGTGAATTATGTTTACAAAGATTTCTTTTCAAAAAGTGTAAAAATACAGTTACCCCATATGTTGATTTTGGAAGAAAGCACAAATATTTCGAAACAAATTGTTTTCAATTGAAATCGTGTTTGGGTATACCTTTGATTTTGATGCCTCATCGGCCATCGTCGAGTAGAACTCATCACTCAGCCCTACACCGTCCAGATCCAGTGATCGAAGATTTGGCATAGAGCAGAGACCTCTCGCGTAATGAGAGGATGCAGCAGAACCCAGATTCAGATCTTCGTCCGTGTGCTTTAGCTGCTCAATCTGGTGATGTGATAGGACAGGTTGAATAGAGTGAATAGTATCATCAAGTATAGACGACGTGATTTTTGAGCGTAATTAATGTAAAATCACAAACCTCTAATTAACTTTTAAAGCAAGACAAAAAGAAGTAGAGAGGAAGAGAGAAAGAGAGAGAGAGAGAGAGAGGGGGGGGGGGATACATAAAAAGGGAAATGAAAATGTTATATTCGTCTATTTACAATGCACATGTAGAATTAGTATAATGGGACTAATCGCATACTATAAGTACTTTCTTTCTTTTGTTTAAAGCCACATACAATTTATAGGATAAATAATTTTATAGTCGCTTTTTAATTAATCTATATCATTCTATAACTTTTGTTCTTTTCACATTATTTGTTTTCCTTGTCAATATAGCCAAACGAATATGAGAGTGCTCGTGAATTATGTTTACAAAGATTTCTTTTCAAAAAGTGTAAAAATACAGTTACCCCATATGTTGATTTTGAAGAAAGCACAAATATTTCGAAACAAATTGTTTCCAATTGAAATCGTGTTTGGGTATACCTTTGATTTTGATGCCTCATCGGCCATCGTCGAGTAGAACTCATCACTCAGCGTCACCTCGTCCAGATTCAGTGATCGAAGATTTGGCATAGAGCAGAGACCTCTCGCGTAATGAGAGGATGCAGCAGAACCCAGATCCGCGGTCTCGTGCGTTAGCTCCTCAACCTGGTGATGTGATAGGACAGGTTGAATAGAGTGAATAGTATCTATCATCAAGTATAGACGACGTGATTTTTGAGCGTCATTAATGTAAAATCATGAACCTCTAATTAACTTTTAAAGCAAGACAAAGATAAATAGAGAGGGAGAGAGAGAGAGAGAGGGGGGGGGGGGAGGGGATATATATAGCCAAACGAATATGAGAGTACTCGTGACTTTTGTTTACAAAAATTTCTTTTAAAAAAGTTTAAAATACAGTTACCCCATAATGTTAAATTTGAAGAAAGCACAAATATTTCGAAACAAATTGTTTCCAATTGAAACCGTGTTTGAGTATACCTTTGATTTTGATGCCTCATCGGCCATCGTTGAGTAGAACTCATCACTCAGCCCCACACAGCTCAGATCCAGTGATCGAAGATTTGGCATAGAGCAGAGACTTCTCGCGTAATGAGAGGATGCAGCAGAACCCAGATCTGCGGTCCTGTGCGTTAGCTTCTTAATCTGGTGATGTACCAGGACAGGTTGAATAGAGTGAATAGTATTGTGGAGTATAGACGACATGTTTGTTTTTAAATATTCTTACTGGAATTAAGTAACATCTTTATTCTGTACTTATGATTTTAAAGCAAGAGAAAAAGAGGAAGAAAGAGCAATAGAAGGGTGACGGAAACAGAGACAGTGACAGAAAGAGAAAGAGAGAAAAGGCCCAAGGGAAATGGGTGTGGTAAGAGAAAAGAAAGACGAGATGAAAAAAGACAAACAAATGTCATGAATTGTAGATAGTTGGAAAAATAAGTCCGTGTCTTTCAAGTAAAATAAAAGTGTTATGTCCGTGTATTTACCATAAACATGTTGATTTATTTTCCTGCGACTATTGGCAAATTACATGGAATTTCTTTTTTTTAAATGCAACATACTATTTATAGGATAAGTTATTTATACACGCTTTTTGATTAATCAATATTATTTTTATACCGAAGTTCGTTATGTTCACATGATTTATTTCCTTGTCAGTATTATGGCCAAATAATTCAATATATTTATATGAGAGTGCTAGTGGCTAATGAAACATTTGATTTCTTACAAGAAAGTGTGACAAAACAGTAATCCCATAATATGTATTCTTATATTTCGAAACACATCGTTTCCATTTGAAATCGTGTTTGGGTATACCTTTGATTTTGATGCATCAGTGGCCATCGTTGAGTAGAACTCATCACTCATCTTCACCCAGTATAGATACAGTGATCGAAGTTTTGGCATGGAGCAGAGACCTCTCGCGTAATGAGAGGATGCAGCAGAACCCAGATCTGCGTGTTTGTGCTGTAGCTCCTCAATCTGGTGATGTGACAGGACAGGTTGAATAGAGTGAATAGTATTGTGGAGTATAGACGACATGTCTGATTAAAGTTTCCAACTTTATTATGTTCAGCGTCATTAATGTAACATCATAAAGCTCTTAAAAGACTTTTGAAGCAAGAGAAAGGGGGAGAAAGAGAGATAGAGAGAGAAATACCAAACAAAAAAGGAAATGGGTGTGTGGCAAGAGCAAAGAAAGACGAGAAGAAAACAAACAACTGAGATAAAACATACATTTTTGAGAAAGGGAAACCTGTTTGTTCATGCAGAATAACTTTAATATCTCTCCCTCTACAGTGTACTTGATATTATATCTCATTCAGACGATTGACAAAACATAAATAATATTTAAATTGAAAAATTGAAATATTATTCATAGGATACGTGCCTTTAAAACGCGTTGTTATATATATATCTAATTCATTGTGGCAATCGGAAAAGAGAGAGAGAGAGAAGCTGTTACAAATGTTATCTTTCTATTAACAGTGTAAATATCTCCTTGAGACTATTGACAAAATAATGTAAGACTTCTAAAATCAAATTGCGACATTCTATTTATGGGATAGGTGCTTTAAAAATCCGCATTTATATGATTGGATATCATGATGAGATTGAAATGCAGTCTATTCACATAATTCACGATTCTTTTAAAATTTGTGAGAATACTCACACTTCAGTAATAGAGGGACTGCACCCCCCCACACCCCCACCCCTCGCCCTCTTTACATATACGCAGTTGCGAAGAGGCTACTTAATATGCAATTATACTCGAAGGATGGGTCTCTTGTAGACACTGGCGTACTAGTGGTGGTGGTGGGGGGGGGGGCTTGGTGACCCTGCCCCTGTACAATTGTATACATGTATAGCATGTATAGGCGGGGAGAGGTGTATTCCCCCGAAATCGGAATAATTATCTACCTGATAAGTTAGCGCTGATTATCACCATCAGAGACGAAGGAAGGTGTGGATATTGGGCTCAGACTTTGATTAATTGCCTGTGTGTCCAAAAGTGTCCTTAATGCAAAGTTCCAAATTAGAAAACGTAAAATAAGGTATATATATTTCATTAAACAAGAGGGGGTCGCTGTGATTCAAATCTGGTCCACAGTGACACGCAAAGTCTCCTCATTTCTGCGAGGGGCTAGATGGTACCCCCCCCCCTCTTCCAAGGTCTCGCGGGACTTTGGTCTCGTCCCGTAACGATAGTCTATCATAATTTTGTTAGTAACTCTCCTCTCATATATCTTCTGAGTCTTTGCTTTTAATTATCAACATTTCCTCAACAGAAAACGGGATATCCTCTCATATACTCGTGTATTACACCAAGCCGCTTATACTACAGGCTTATATAATATCGTGATTTTTATTTTTCAAAACGAAGAAAAGATGGGTGAAATATTACTGCAAAAAGATGCGGCAATTCCTAATAGACTACGAGAAGCTTTTGCAAGTGGTCTACCTACCCATAAATAAAAAGAAATTTCTAATAGCATTAATTGTTTAGTAAATAATAATTTAAAGTTCTACAAGACAATGTGACACACCATTCAGATTCTGAGGTCATCCACAACGCAAAGTTTCACTATTGCAAAAAGGAAAATCTCCTCTCTCAGTGGATACGCCTTCTCGCTTAATAATTTCATCTTTAACAAAATGTAAGCCATTGGTCTACATAACTACATAATTAGAGAGGACCGAGTCTCCATCCCCGAAATTGGAAAGGTCGCCCAAAGTAAAAGATATTTAAATGCTACCTATCCAATATGAATGGAGAAAAAAGGTGCATATTAAACCCAGACCTATTATACAATATGTGGTTCAAAATTGTCCATAGTACAAAACGTAATTTTGTACTTTACGTAACTTACCGCAAGAGTTACTATTCTGTGAAATGTTTATGAAATAGAATAGCTGCATAGACTTCTTATTTCGGGAAAGGGCGGAGGTAACCCCCCCCCCTCCGCCTTCATGGATTGACACCGGAGCCATTTCTGGATCGGCTCCCTCAACATGTTTGGTTAATACGCCACTGAGCGTGTGTGTGTATCAACAATAGTGACATGAGAATTGTAAAAGTGTAGGGGAGCACTGGCGGCAAGGAAAAGCGTCAAGGGAAAATGTCTTCCCATCCCGAGTGGAAAATGTCCTGCGTCCTAGGGGCGGATTTAGCTTTTTGCTGAGGGGGGGGGGGGGTGACCCAATTTTTTGGGGGGTGCTATTTTGAACCCCCTGTGGACCATCGTCCACGAGCGGCGTAGCTGCGACGCGATTTTTGTTGTTGTTGCTATTTTGAACCCCCGTAAGTGTTTTCCTGGCATCTACTAACACAATGGAGACCATAAAAAGTCTGGACACATGATGGCGTTTTTCTATGCACATCACATTTTCACTTGGCAGTCCACCCCCCGCCCCCGTAGATCCGCCCCTGCGACCTATAGTTTGTTTGTTAAGTGCCAATGTCAATAAAGATTAACCTAAACAAACACAACAGATGAAGAAGAAGCAGATGAACAAGAAGAAAAAGATGAAAGAAAAAAAATGATTTCGTCATATTATATTGGAGGGTGGCAAAGACTTTGACTGAGGGTGAGATTTTTCGCGATGTTCATCGCAGAGTTTTAACATTTCGACTTACATAATACTGAAATTGTGGATTCACTAAATGTCATACTTTATCTCTCTATTTCAAGTAAAGATGTGTATACTGAAAATGTTTTTCTTTATCGTTAATATGAGTTGGACTGAGCATTTTGTAGAAATTTAATTAATGATAAATGGAATGTTATCATACTAACCGGTATGGTGAATGGAATGTACCATGTATACTAATGTGATAAAATTTCAGAGATATCACATGATAATATTTAATATTTAGATGGTCACTTATTACTCTCCTACATCCATTTTAATTATACTTTGTATAATATTTTATATTTTTTCATTTTTACAAATTACAGCCATGACTTTCAAGTTGCCTTTTTCGTTTTGTCTTACACAGTGTCACAATGGATGGAGAATCAATATTTGACGAAATTGATGAAACAAATATCTTAAAATTTACCAAAACAGTGTACCAAAACACATAGAGACGAAGAGAAAAATGACAGAGGAAGATGCATATCAATGATAGGTAGAAAGGAAATGTAAGGAAAAGAGGGAAGAGCTGGAGGAAGAGGAGAGCAAGACCATTTCACAAGACTTTTAGGTTGCTATAGACTTCTCACCTTTGTAAATAGAAGTGAACGAAAGAGTGTAAATACCGAATTTTGTGTTCATGAATGAAATACTTTTCCTTATCTTATCAAGAAACAAATAGCATGCATTGGATAAGAAATAATGATAATTACGATTTAGGATTCATGAAGGTTTATACAATAATCAGAAACCTTGGACTGTGAAGCTGCAGCAGACATTCCTGTGTAGAATTTGTCATCCAGGTGCTCGTTAATGACCAACTGTCGTAAGCTCTGCAATGTAAAGAGTCCTACTGCTACATCAGACAATGATGCGTTACTTTCGAAGGACTCACTAACACCCAATGCTTCACGAATCGAGGAACTTCTTCTTATCTGAACAACAAATGAATTTTAGCATTCAATCTCTAATATAATACATACCATGCAAATGGTTTAATTTGTGAGAAAAATTCTTGTAGCATGCATTGGTTTGTAATAGGAAATTAACAAAAAACACCCAAGTTATTTTTCTTGATGTCTTCACCATTAGGCAAGCTTCTGACAGCCATGTATCATGAAAATAGCATGAATAAAAACACTAATTCTTATCATCACGAATCATGGAAGGTGATATGAATAGGACAAACCAAATTTAGACTTATCGGTCTTTTTAATTATCTGTAATAAGTGAACCTGAAAAGTAGATATCTATTGAGGTAGCTATGGAGGGCATATTGAATATAGAATGACCTAATTCTCTATAGTTCGTTTGGTTGGCTCAGCTTTTTCTCTTTGTTTAATCCTGAAAGAGCCTTACATCGTTACTCTCTTCCTTTCTTAGTAAGTCGTTTAAATTTATATAATTTATGAGGAAGAGGCAAACGGTGACATGATTCTCATGTGAGACTGATTGCACAATACAAATTGGAATAGAGCCCACTATAGTACGTATATAATGACGACATGGCAGTTCTAAATGATTATGGGTCAGAATGCTGGAAAGTAAATGTGTAGTTGCCCATTTGTTTGTTGGCAAATTTGCATAATCATACTGATTATGTAATTACTGAAAGCACACAAGATGTCAGTATTCCCTCGACAAAATAAAATTTACAATTAGATGAATGAAATGAGTTACGTCTACGATTGTATTCACGAAACTTACTACTTCCTTCCCTATTGGTTCCAGTGTGAAGAATAAAGCGGCGATTGGAGTTGAATCCCATTGAGAAGCTAACGTAAGACGTGTCTCCGTATTCAGCAGGTTCCTGACGGGACCAATGGCTTTTGTATCATGACATTCAAAAGCACACTGAATGATGAACTCCATGTCATCAACGTTCTTGCATAGGGCTTCAAGGACCGACGTTCCTACTTCACCTCCATGAGCTGCAGTGAAGCACAAGACATTTTCGAATGCCCTGTAGTCCGTTAACAGCTTGTGTGTTAAGATTCTGTTGAATTCGGGACGATTGTAGTTAAATAGCGATGCAAGGTAAAGGCTTGCGGTGTGTTCCTGCAGAAGCTTGTGAGGGAAACAGAACTCTTGAACGAATTGCTTTCCCTCTTGTTGTCTGATTTCCTTTGAGGCCAACCTCTTTTTCCCACTCAGAATCCCAACTTGACATGCTATTGCTGCAGCCTCACCGCAGGCTTCCATTTCCTCTTTGGTGAAGATGAGCTGATTTTTCAGCAACCCCTCGAAGGCCACACGACCAACCTTTGTAATGGCTTCAACAGCCTTCTCCATATGGCATTGATACCCTCCCTCTCTGTCAGTGTATCTTGAAGAATATTGTTCCCTCAGAGCGAAATCAATCTCTGTCATTAGTTGGGAGATTGTTTGTAGCTTCTCAGTTGTTTTGCGCTTAGATTCTACTTCCCACATGTAACACAGCATACAGCAAAAGATTGGGAATGGTGCCATATACTCAGAAACGAAACTGTTAGAGTTGATGAAGTGGATGAGACTGGATGCAGAAGCTGTGTCACTTTTGAAATACTGTTTGATGTATTCATATGTGTTTTCCTTCGTAAAACCCTTAACAAGAATGTAGGAGTACTTTTCATGGATTTTCGGAATGCTCTTGATTTGATCAGCTCCAAAAGGACGTGAACTAATGAGAACGGATGTGTTAATGAATCTCTCCCTTCTTGCGATCGAGACGATAGCAAGTTTACGGTTTTGACATTTTATGTCCATTTTAGCCTCGTCCAGTCCGTCCAGTAAGATCAGAACTTTCCTTTGATTCTCCTTGATGTAGTTATCAATCCATTCCCCGTTAATCTCTGTGTCATCTGGGAAATGATTCATAACGATATCACCAAAGATGGAGCTATCTTCTATGTCTCGAAATGATTCGTGAAAGAGAAGAGTGATATCTTGGAGACATTTACCCATCGCCCAATCGAGGGCTATTTTTGCAAATAATGTCGATTTGCCCACACCAGCTTCTCCAAGAAAGGCTAACCGTGTTATAAATCCTTTCTCAGTCTTTTTTGTAATGAAATTGAACAGATCCTCATATCGATGTTTTGTACACCCTAACATTAAAATGAGACTGACGTAGATATGCTGCAGCCATGTGCGTGACTCGGGGTCCATAGGAGATACTTTGACCTCGCTAAATTCTTCGATATATCTATCCTGTAACTTCTCTCTTAATCGTTGTACTTTGTCAGGCATCTCACCCTGTTCACCTGGAAAGAGAGAGGATCAGAACAAGATGCAGACGAGCGTGAGGATGATGGGTCAGACATTAACAACATCTCACCGTAGTACAGGCGAGAGAGAGAGAGAGAGAGAGGGGGGGGGGCTACATCTACGCACATTTGTTCACGCCTCCCCCAAATAGAGTACAAAAACGGAGAAATAAGAAAGGGCTTTCCTACTAGTCTATCGATTTAATCCAATATAAATACGGTCAAGCCATTTTGCAACATTGTAGTACTAGTAAGCCATATAGCCCTTAAATCCAAATCATTTTTTTTTGGTACCCCGCACAGTTCACGTTATTGGCTCAATATGTTCGTGAAGTTTCTTCGAAAACAGAGGGAAGATAGGCGTCAATCAGTGGACAATCAGGGGGCATCTGACAGCCTATCCTGACGTTAATCTTTGTCACTGATTTGTGTTTTGCAATGTCCATTCATACTACATCCTAATGACAAAGTTTGAATCAGAATTTATGTGTATTAAAGCAAAGACAGACCGGACGGTACCGCCAGACCAAAATAAGGAGCTCAATACTCCTTGTTCAAACCAATTTTTATCTTGAAATCAATTCACAACTCTGTATAAACAGTAGCGTATAGTAAGATTATGGCGCCCAGAGTAGTCAATGAAACTGCCGACCCCCCCCCCTGCCCCCTTCCCAAACTTATCTATGTCAATTTACAAGCGAGGGAGCAAGGCGAGCAGCTCAAGCAATTCGCAACGGAGCGCAGCGATCGAGTATAGCAGGCCTATGTAGGGTTTCGCTTTATGTAACAATGATATTAAACTATGTTTCTATTCATTTCTCTTTAAAGGTATTACAAATTTGTGTTATGGGGTCATGAATTAAGTTCAAATGAACATATTGGAAGCATACGCGATTTTACAATATTCAATGATCGTTGACGCGGTTGAAATCGAGTCTAAAGTGATGACATTGTAAATAATAAACTCTTTATGTTGTACAGCGCCCTCTCTAGACTGATATTACTTTAGCTCTAAAACAATGTTTCTTGAGTACGATCGACCGATTTGCTATTCCCGTTTGGAAATTATATATCGGAACTGCATATTCTGAGATTTTCATGGTCGCAGCTACCAAGTAACGGTCTTAGGCGCTATTTGAAATATTTGAAATTTACCGGGAGCACCAATTTCTCGAGGAGAAGAAGTGTTTTAGGGGCTTAATTTTGTAATACTTATAATACATCCACAGGGGCATCCAAGCATATCAAAATGTTAACGAATTACTCAAATCAAATGTTCAAAATTTCCCAAAACTTTGCATTACCTTTAAGTTGTGAACAAAATTGAAGAAAAGTGGAAAATACAGTAAGGGTACAGCAAGGTAACCCAATAGATCAGATTTTTTTCAAACGTTGAAAGTAAATTTTTTGGGGATAAAAATTGAATTCCATTTTAAACAATCTACGGATAACGCTATTATACGAGGGAGCAAAGCAATGAGAACTACACTTTGATTTTCAAGAATGGAACCACTTAAACATTTTCTTTGTGAAAGATTATATTCCAACCGTATCAAAGCTGATCTTCAAAGCTTTTGAAGACAACAAATTTAGTTTACCTTTTCCTTGCAGACACGTCTCCTCTATTTCTTTGAAGCCCACCGCCTGGAGAGCAGCTCTAAGCATGGGAAGTTGCTTGGATGGTTTGACCGTCTCTGCCCAATTCTGAAGCAGCATCACATTACCATTACTGGTCTTTCTACCTCCAGCCCAATTTGTCTCCAATGCCCGGTTGATATCAGGAATCTGGACTCCCAGCTCAACACCAAGTCTCATTACATTACCATCATCTGATACGGCGTTTGCTACTTTGATGATGACGTCATCGAATCCAAGTGTTTGCCTCGACGTTTGACCTCTAGAAAATATATTAATTTTTTTTAAACAAAATTAAAGCATTTCAAGATTCAAATGAGGTTTTATTCACGACTTGTCAAAAAGTCCAAAGACTAAAAATGCAAGTTTACATCAAACATATAATCATATAAAAAAAGCATTCAAAAACATATATTTATATATATAAAGAAAGCATAGCAAATGGGAAAGAAAGAAAAAGTTATATATATAAAAATGAATAAATGTTTACATCAAAACATCAAAGCGGTATCAAAACAAAAAAAAAGGAAAACAAATACACGATATAAAATATTGCTAGCAAAATTGAGTAAATGTTTAAATCAAAACAAATAAAATAAAATGTATACAGATACGGGATTTCAATTAAATGTAACGTATGAAAAACTGCGATAAAATGCAATACCATCATTCATATGGTGTAATAAATATTAACAAGTATTAAAAACTATAAAATTGGAGTATTGGCAGTGTGGTAATCACAAGTGTGACATGAGTACAGGACATGTATAAGCATATTGCACATGAACAAAATTGGAAATCCTTAGATATTATTGGTCACAGTAAGAATGGCAGATAATTAAAGAATGTTGTACTGTTAAAATCATTAGAAGAGAAAGAGGTGGAGAGGAGGAAGGAGAGACAGAAAGTGAGAGAGAGAAACAGAGAGGAGGAAGGAGAGACGACGGGAGAAAGAGGAAGAGGCAGAGAGAGCAGAGCAGAGAGAGAGAGAGAGAGACGGACAGACAGAGAGATAGGAGAGAGGGGATGGGAGTGAAATAGAAATAGAGAGGAAAGACCAGAACTGAAGAAGAGAAAAGGAAATTTGAAAAGTAACAAGTTCAAATAGAGAAAAGGGATGAGAGAGTGAGAGGAAGGATAAAAGTACATGCAATATCAAAATACGAATAAATGTGAGAACCTGCTGTGCCAATCATCATGACAGTTGATATTGCACATAATTAGATTGCTGAAATACATGATATACAGTGCGTCCCAGAAAAAACGAAACCGAGAAGTATCGATGTTTTATCATAACTTAATCACAACCATAATGAATGAATGATACATATTTGGAAAGCTTAGAGTCTCCTCTTTTAGTTGATGATACTCAGATGATGCATATTTTACGCATGAGTGATTAAAAGCAATTTGAAGGAAGGAAACCAAAAAGACGTTTGGCGGGCGGTATCTGAATTTCGAAGAAAAATTCACATTTCTAGAAAGTTGAGTTTCTGCCCTTTCATATGACACCTCATTCAGGAAAAATGAGCGAGGAATGACAAAGTTCTGTTTGTTTAAAGAAGCCCTTACATTTTCATAATTTTATTAAACGAATTCGTTTTCACTGGCTGCCTGCCGTATCAATAAACGAAATTAACAAAAGACTTAACTCCGTTTCGTTGACAATCAGCCGTAGACGAGAGTCTTCATGCATGGCTTATTGTCAACTAAACGGAGTTAAGTCTTTTGCGTGAAATATGCATCATCTGAGTAGCATCACATGAAAGAGGAGACTCTAAGCTTTCCAAATATGTATCATTCATTAATTATAGTTGTGATTAAGTTATGATAGAACATCGATACTTCTCGGTTTCGTTTTTTCTGGGACGCACTGTATAATATACTGATAATCACCTAATCCTCCATTTATTATTATTCAAGGATCGAGTGAAAGATGGTATGGGAGAATTTAGGTACCTCGAAGTTCTCATCTTAGGCAAGGACAAATCAAGTGCATTTCGTAAGGTACGGCTACAGTCAAGGACTCTGCTCTCAGGCAGGAGATGTCAATGAACTTTAGATTGGAGGAGTGATTCTGCAAATCTTAAAGAAAGGGATGTGCGTCTCTGAAATCGCTCGATGCTTACAGAGTGGTTGTTTGTGATCCCTGATGTCCAAACAGGTGCTGCAAATTCTAGCACTGGCCTGATGTACAAAATGTATATAGTAGCAAGATCCTTGGTGGTAACACCATTTCTCCGAAGCTTAGTCAGGAGATAAAGTCTTCTGGAAGCGATAGAGATCAAACGGCTGACCTGCCCATCCCATTTGAGATCATCCTGAAGGAAGACCCCTATGAGCTTAATGGATGAGACAGCTTCCAGTGTGTTAGAGTTGATGTAAAAAACGATGGGTGGCGGGGGTTGGTGAAGAAATGAAATCTGCATAGCTTTACAATTATCAGCATTCGGGACAACGTCATTGTCTTTGCACCATTGGATCAAGGAGTCTAGATGCGACTGCAACTCAGATGGATGCGTTTTCTTCAAGACCTCCACGATTGTCAAGTCATCCACATATTTCCAGCGGTTATCACTTTCAACAGCTGCATCGTTGATAATGACCAACAACAGGACCGGTCCGAGGCAAGTACCTTCGGGTACCCCACAGGTGATGGCTTGTTGTTGAGATGATTTCCCATGATGGCGGACAGTCTGCGCTCTGTTGGAAAGGAAGCTGCAGATAGTAGGGATGATAGAGTGATCAACACCTAAGTCAATCAACTTGTTCATAACAATGGTGTGCTTGACATGGTCAAAAGCCTAAGAAAAATCCACGACGCAAAGGTTGGCGAGAGTGCCATCCTTGTCAAGCTCCCTGTGGATGGTGTCAAGCAGGCTGACCAAGTAGTGCGTAACTGACGATCCACGAAGATTACCAAACTGGCGGTGGTCAACGGGCGGATGTTGCTCATGATCCAGTCCGCGAGGAAACCTTCAAAGATAAGCGCTAACGTGGGCGTTTTTATGGAGATTGGCCGGAGCTGATCATAGCTGGTAACAGGATTAGTTTTGGGAATAGCACTGATAGATGCATGTTTCCATATGTCAGGGAAGCAACCCTGACTGAGGCAAAGATTGAAGAGAGTGGTCAAAGGTTCAGAAAGTTCATAAGTGAACTCTTTCAACAGTCGCGAAGAGGGGGGGGGGGGGTCATTTGGATGACAGGCCTTGGCAGTGCTGATTCCACAGAGGCGCTTATAAACCCTCTGACGGTCGATCACAGGAGGGGGTGAGGGCGCTGGTAGAAAAGTCGACAGAGCACCCCTGTCTAGTGGTGGTAATGAAGAGCAGATGGCAGCGAAGTGCGTGTTTAGCTCATTATCAATGTCAATATCTGATCTGCCGTCAGATGAAAGATTGATCTGCTTCTTGCGGATGCCAGCAAGATGTCGGATTTGCTGGTGCCATTTCCCAGGCTCCGATTTCTTAAGATGTTCAAGTTTGCGCTGGTAGAATGAGTCCTTTTGCGTTATCGATCAACCCTTGTACATGGCTCCTCAACCGTTTAAAGTCTGGATTTCCATGTCGAAAGCAAGAATCAATCGCGGCGATTGATTGCTCTGCGAATCTCATCATTCATCCATGGCTCGTCATCTAACCTTCGTTTGACAGTAACAAGTTCAAAGTATTGTCTGAATTTGGTGTTGATTAAGTCATTGAACTCTGAAGACATGTCATTAGCATCAAAGTCCCCGAGAATAGACCGGTCCATCTGCTGTACCCATTGCCCGAAAGCCCGGACAGAGGAGTCACGAAAGGGGCGATAGGATGTTCTGGTAGATTTCCTGGGAGGCGGCAGGAGACAAGGCAGGATGGTAACAACATTGTGATCGCTAGAAGCAATTGGCATCGAAATCTGAGGAACACTGTAGTCCTCATTAAGGTCAGTCAGAATCTTGTCCAGGATAGCCGACTTACGAGTAGGATCCTTGCCTATCTGAGACAACGAGGTATGTCTTTCAATCTCATCAGTTTCTAGGTCATTGAAATCTCCCATGATAATTAATGAAGCGTTGGCGGAATGAAGACGAGCACGGTCAACCATATTGATAATGTGCTCAATCTTTCAGCTCGATGCGGAGACCGCGGCGGAGAGTAAATCACCCCAACATAGACGTCCTTTGGGAGATGCACTGCAGCAGAGGATCTCAGGCAGACCCAGAGGGCTTCAAGATGTGGGGGACTGTGTCGCTGAAGACCTCCGTAGGGTTCATATCATCTCGCACGTAGAGTGCAACACCCCCTCCCTTCTGCCCTCTACGGTCCTTGTGGAAGAGATGATACAACGGTAACTGGCATGCTGAAGCAGGATTCGCATCTGAAAACCAAGTTTCGGTGACTGCAATCAAATGCGTATCCTTTATGCCTGGATTACATTTGCCCCGGGCGCCGTACGATAAATTAGTCTACGATTTTTCGTAGACATCGTAGGAGGCTACGGGCTACGATGTTTGTGTTTACATTATCTACGAGCATCGTGCCATTTATTGTTTGGCCATCGGGGGCAGGCCGGGGCAAATCCGTACAGAGGCTGCTCGGAGATTGTACGGAAATCGTGCAATTTGAATGCAGTAGCCGTGCAGTCTCCGCAGCCTCCGCACGGAAATCGTACGGAGCCCGTGAAGCTTCCGTGCAAAGGTTGCGCGGAGAAGGCGCGGTGACCGTACAGCCGTGTCCACCGAAAAATCGTACGTTTGCTGCACAATCAGTGCGAGGCCTCCGGGCGATGCCCGTGCGGGGATTGTGCAATGCAACCTATGACATGTATACGGGCTACGGGCTTACGATTTTTTCAAATTTGTTTAAAGGGAAAGTCCACCCCCAAAATAAGTTTGTTTCGATAGAGGCAGAATAATAAGAAAATCAGGTGAGTGAAAGTTTGAGCAAATTCTGAATGAAAATAAGAAAGTTATGAATTATTGAAGTTGTGATCAATCAAATACAAATTGGCAACTCTGTGACTTATTATACGAGCTCTCCTTCATTTGCTTTGTGCATAATATTCCATAAAATCATGTTTTCTTCGTTATTGATGATGGAATATATATTTGTTCCTTGCAGGGGGAGTATAGAAACATATTTGCAATTATTATATTTAGGGTGCATGTACGGTTGAAATTTTTCTTGAGGGAAAATGAAAATTTTAGATTTTTTTAGTACTGAGCAAATGGAAGTTGAGCTCGCATGATACGTCATAGAGTTGCCAATTTGTGTTTGATTGATCACAACTTCAAAAATCCTAACTTCCTTATTTTTAATCGGAATTTGCTCAAACTTTCACTGACTTGTTTCTCTCATTTTTCTACTCCTATTAAAACTAACTTAATTTCAGGGTGGACTTTCCCTTTAACTTCTCGCGAAACAAAATCGTAAAGGCTGTGGAGCCCGTGAATCCGTACGAAAATCTCACGGCCGCCTCCTGCCTCCGCACAGAGGCTGCACGGAAAAGGGGATACGGGCAGGATACGGGCTCCGTAGACTAATCGCAGGCCAAATGTAATCCAGGCATGAAGTTAGTCTGTTGTATGGCATGGAACTGGTTGAATTTCTTGTTCAGCGATCGTGCGTTAAAGAGCATTAAGGTGGGAAGGCACTTTGGAGTTCGATGCTGAAGTTGAATGTCAATCAAAGATTCATTGGTACGAATAGCGCACACATCCAAATCATGATTTTTTTATACTTAAATTTAAACTACACATGTTATCAAGCCTCCTATTCATTGGATATCACGAATTTCATATAACTGAGTGAATAATCAAACAAAATATCCTGGTAAATCGTAATTTCTTTCTTGCTTGATCTTTCAGGTCACCGGTATGCGAATTTATTATTTCACATATAGTAACAATAGATTCATCACAAATGTTAATCATTAATTTCCATAATTCACCACTATGTGAGCCAGTATTCTAAGATTTAATGATAACATGTACATGTATATATATCAAGACTTCAAATACACTTAGTCATGTTAGTGTTGAGTTTAATTAAACAGAAATATGAATATATTTGAACATTTACGTTTAGACTGAGAAGGATTCTAATTGTTCAACTGCAATGTCGTTCTGTTAGGATACAGCACGACCTTCTTAAGGGGCTTTCTTATATATATCAAAGGAACTTTGTAACATTGTTCAGATAAGAGAAAATGGTGCTAAGGTAGGGACATTAGATGTACAATCAAGGATAATCTGAAAGTTTGAGTGAAAACAGACCATTATTAAAGCTAACAATTGGGGAAAACTCATCTGATCGATTCCTTAATTCTCCCAACTATATTATCATAATTTAATCATATTTTAGGTGAAAGTAAATCGTCACAAAGCAATGAATTAGCTCTATATAGAGGTGTAGAGGTGTCGTGGTCGAGTGGATACGTCGCCGGAGCGTCGATCACAAGGTCCGCGGTTCGAGTCCCGCCGCGGCACCAATGTCCTTTGGCAAGACATTGATCTACATTTTTCCACACTCCACCCCGGTGGAATTTATTTCATGAAATGCAGAGCGCGTGACAGCTGCACTGCTAAAGCCAGGGTAATTATGCTGTATTATTGTTTTCATAGCGCTTTAGAGACTTCTGATAAAGTAAGTGTTAGGCGCTATACAGTGCGTCCCAGAAAAAACGAAACCAAGAATTATCGATGTTTTATCATAACTTTATCTCAGTCATAATTAATAAATGACACCTATTAGTAAAGCTTAGATCATCCTCTTTCATTTGATGCAACTTATATGATGCATATGTTACGCACGAGCGATTAAAACAATTTGTTAGAGAGGAAAACAAAAAGTCTTTTGGTGGGCGGTATCTGAATTTTAAAGAGAAAACCACATTTCTAGAAAGTTAATTTTCTGCTCTTACATAATTATGACACTTCAATCAGGACAAAATGAGTCAAGAATAACAAAGTTCTGTTTGTTTAAAGTAATGCTTGCATTTCCATAAATTGATTAAACGAATTCATTTTCACTGGCTGCCTGCCGTAGCAACAAACAGAGTTGACAAAAGGCTTAACACCGTTTCGTTGACGACCAGCCATGCATCTAGTATTTCGTCTTCTTAGTAATTGTCTTTAAATGCTGAAAAGTTCAATTCAATATATTTTTACAATAGAACATCACAATATTCATTCCAAAATTTCTGAACATTTAAAAATATCAATGAATGATAAATTTATCAAAAAAGTCCACACAGTTAAACTTTTAGGCGTATTCATTAATGAAGTATGTCATGGACTGACCATATGTTGTATATTACTAATAAAGTGTTAAAGAGTGTTGGTATCGTTGAAAAACTCCGCACAGTTTTACCTCAAAGCATATTGATAGTGTTGTACAATACATTTATTTAACCATATTTGACTTACTGACTATTTGGGCAAATACTTTCAAGTCAAAATTGAACTCTCTTTTTTGTTCCAAAAGAAAGTGGTTAGAATTTGCTCTCTAACTTCTTAATTCTTATCGTTCCCATACTGGACTATTATTTATAAATCTCAAGATTCTTGATGTGTATCAATTAAATAAATTTTGCATCTCAATTTTATTATTTAAACACAATCAAGGTTTTTGGCCCAGTTCACTTTACAATATGCTTTCAGTCAATAATGCAGTTCATAATTTACGAGGAATAGAAATAAAGACCTGGATCAAGTGAGTTATGGGTTGTTGACAAATCTTATCATTTTTTTTCAGACATAAAGCACCAACAATATTGCCAAATAACATAA